GTCCAAGCTCTTGGATTCTGAAACCCCCTAATATTGGTGCTTGCAAAGGATTCATAAAGTGTAGAAGAATAATAATATAAGCTAATCATTTTTGAGCTACAGCACTAATGGTCCTACAAGAGGAACCTTGTGGATGGATGAGATTAAAAAGATGAGGTTAACCTGCAAACTGGGCCACAACAAGCAAAAACTGATATCAAACATCAATTGTTAGCTACTCAATTATTTTTAGTATGTATCATTGATACAGAAAAGTCACTCACTCTGTGTTTGTTGTGTGTACTACAGTACATATATTTTCAATATTCACATTGTTCTTCAATGTAAATCTTTGTAACATACTTGTTGAGCCAGCTGCCAGACCTTTGACTGCAGAATGAAACCAGGGTGGTTGGCATTTGATTTGAGTGGAGTTGGATAGGTTGAAAAGCTTTTGAGGAAGTCACAAATATGGGGCCAATGATGATGCCGTAGTCATGATTATAACCACCATGATTCTTGTCCATGTTTTGACAGCAGAAAAATCTCCAGTTGTCCCAATCTTCAACTAATGAAATTTGCTTCACACAGAAGGGAGGTTTGCTGTTTGCGGGTGAGAAGTGCCTGTGAAATACAGCAGTTGGTATATAAAATTGAAAACTGCCACTGGGCTACCAGGTGGGTATGCTGGGTGAGTATGGAGTGTTGGAATCACGCTTCAAGTGTTATTCCTTGTAAAAGGAGAAGTGCCGGTAGGCTGATATCTTTTAGTTATCAATCTATATAGAATATTAAAATCTTATTGATCATGTTTTATGATCATGAATAGATACTATCTGCTCATGCGATGAGCAAGAAAATGCCAAGCGCAAGGCTTGTGATTCAAATCATGACGCCAGTGATGTTATGAATCTAGATAATAGGGGGTATCATATATAACCAAATCCACCATTATTTAATTGACTTGTTTGAAAAAATCCACCCTTTTTTAAACATGTTGGTTCTTCATTTAACCCCTTTTAGGGCCCATTGATGCAAACAAATTTTTGGGAAAAGTCACTGGTTTCTAAAGGTGGATTTCCTATATTTGATACCCCCTAATGAGAGGAACATGTTGTCGAACTCTAAGTGAGTTTCAATGATCATGATCATTGGTCAAGAAGATGTTAATTCTTAACAGTTACAACTTCTTTTTCCCAGAACATCATTTCTCCATTCTAGCTCTCTGCAAACCACAAACGTCAAAACGATCAAACTGGCTAACTGTACCTTTCCACCAATACTTGTTGAGCAATAATAATTGCCTTTCATTATTGTGAAAGAGAATTGATTATGGAAATCTAAGATAAAATATTGAATTTTATTGTGAAACAGATTCCTTATTAAACAGTTATTAAAAGAAACAATACACTATCAAAGGCAATCATATTACCCAAACAAGTAATGTTTTTACTTAATCATTTATAATTAATAATATAAAGGAAACAACATTGATACTAATCTATTGTTGAATCACTTTTGTTTCATCTTTTTATCTTTCTTTAAAATTAAAAAGAAAAATTATTATTATTATCTTTATTCTCTTTACCTTCAAGATTTTATCTTATCCAGCCTAGAATTATTCTGCCTTCAGGTAAAGAATAATATCTTTATTATATTTATTACCTTCCTTAAAATTATTTGTATTTAAAAGAAAAGATTGTTTTTAATTATCAGAAATGAATATCTCTTCAGTTTCCAACTTCTTTCATGGATTGGATGCTCAACCAACAAATGATGCCTGAAGCCCTTAAGGAAACCCTCCTCCAGTAGAAGGCTGTAAAGATCCAAGTTCCAAACAGGAGTGACTTGTAGACCCCAGCCCTTTCTCCTCATGGTCATTAGGGGAGGTGCCAATCCAATACAGGGCCTTTGCATGTGCTGAGAGAGCACATTTGAGCTGTGTGAGATATGCCAAACTAAATATTTCTTATGTAATTTGAAATAATTATCCTTGAAAATTATAAATCTATAAAAAAGTTAGAGTTAAAATATAAATTCATCAAGAATAGAATCTGGTACACAAAACATAGGGTAAATTTTTGAAAACATTGGGGACCCAGGGGTGTGCACAGAGTGCAGGGGGAAGTTGCACATTGGTGCACCCCACTCTATGGCCCCATCAACCATACTGCAGTCCCTGCCCTATTCTTTCCACTATTTAAATCTCCCAATCTCTTGATTTTTGATCTTTTTTCCCCTGCAGACACTCTAATAACCTTCAACCCTCCCAGTTTCACAGCACCATATCAATCTCCAGCACTGTGACAACCTTTCTTCTACCCAACCTGTAGATTCATCCCTCACTAAACTGTTCAAGCAATTACGATGAATAGACCATACTCATAGGACTTTTCTGTACCCTTTCTCTGTGCTGCTCACAGATTTTATGGGCCAATCTTTCTGGTCAAACAGGTATTTATGTGGCCTAGTCTCCAACAGTGGGAACAGTTTTCCAGTTGAACAAGGATCCCCCCATCAACAAGAAGCTTGCAGATTTGAGTGAAAGAGATGCATCATGCTGTCAAGTTTGGATGCTAATCCTGAAATTTTCAGGGCTCTTTATCAAGCTGACATGGTCTAATGAGCTCATAAATAGAAATTTGTTTGGTGATATGCTGCACTATGTCAAGGAATTTGAGTGCATACAACCATCCAATGAGGGAAAGGTTGTTGCCCAAATGGCTTCTATAGCACAAGCGCAATCTGCTACTTTCAAAGGTGGGTAGTTACACTGCCCATGAAAGTAGTGTGATGGTAATTTAAAAGTTTTTTTGACCGATATTGTTACCATGCTCTGTGACAGGTAATTCATTGAAACACCCTTTTTGTTTTTGCTTTGTATTATTGACTTGTAATGATACCCATTTGCAAACAAATGGGATATTGAAGATGTATCAGAGGGCCCTTTTAACCCTTTTAGCTCTTTCCTCCCAGTTTGGCCTTTGAGAAGGCCATTATTATTGCATCATTTATGTTAAATTTCAGCTTTTCTAGAAAAAAAAACCAGTGACAATATCTACTTGGGAAATATGGCTATTTTCCTAGGGAAACTGACTGTAGTGTTAGTGTAGCTTAACACAGCACAATTCCACTGAAATTCTGCAGTGTCCGCACTAACACTACACATGCAGACCTCCCAAAAGTGCCCTCTAGGGTGCGCTAATGCGCTGGTTAGTGGCATTTTGCTCCTGTAGACACCAGGAAAAAAAGAATGAACAGTTGATGACAAGTGACATCAAGACAACTTCAGTGTACTGTTGATTACATATCCAGCTCAAATCTGCCTCAGCCCCCCTGTAGCACACAAAGGGGCCATTTTAGTTGGGTCACAACAGAGCAGGAGCTACATGGGAGCAGCAATCAATGTTACATGATGTCACCTGTCATCTAGTGAGCATAGATTTTTCCTGGTGGGAGGCTGTTAGTGGTTTATAGCACAGCAGAAGAACCTCCAACATTTTTCTAACACTGCACAATTTCTGTATTCTTTGATCACCAGCACTTTGAATCAGGTTCCATGCAAATCAGACAGGTACCAGCACCAGGAAAACACAATGCTCACTAGATTCCAGGCAACATTATCTGTCATTGATTACAACTCCAGTGTTGCTCCAGTTCTACTGCAATCAAAATACAATTACCCCTTTGTGTACTACAGGAGGATGAACTAGAGTTGAGCTTGATACATGGTGGGTAGCATGCTGAACTTAGCCTGATGTGACCTGAAATCAAGTGAGCGTTGTTTTTTTTCCTGATGCTGATGTGCCATCTCTACTACTCCTATAATTGGTTGATCCTGCTATAGTCAAAGCTAACAGACCTCTGGTTTAGTTTGCATCCAATACACTAAAAAATTCAGTGCTACTAGATGCAGTTTGTTTTAGGATTATGGTGTTGGTTTTGACATTGGTGCTTTCTTTTCCAATTCATGAACATAACTGATTTGAATTTTGCCAAGTAACTCTACATCTCGAGCTATGTCAACTATGGCTCAACTAAAATCTTACAGCACCAACAGTTTCAACAGCAGTCCCAATAGCATCACAATCTTCCTCAATTGGCTTACAGCTGATGAAGATTACAATCAATGGTGCAAGGGTGAATCAAAGAGAGAACTCGGTGCCAAAATTTCCAGGGAGATGAGGTGCAATGGCATCCATGAATATTGTGCTTATAACCCTGGCTAGATTTAGTCTGTACATGTGTATTGTCCCATTGGGGGGAGGGGGGGGGCTGATGCCCCACTTGGCCATCAAGACTAGAGTCTTGTTTTCTAATGCTGAATTATTAGACCTGGTCTTTTCATATCTTCACATCATTGCTGGTATTTGCTCTCCACTGCAAGCAAATAGAGGAGGAACTGGATGCTTGTGGATCTGTTGAATTGGTTCTCTTTGGTGGCATGTAAGATAAGTGTATGAGCTCAAGGGGAAGGTGGGTGGGGGAGGGGGGGGCCTGATGAGCTGATGGAATGTGCATAGTAGCTGGTTTGGTCAATTGGTTGAGGGATAAATAAAATTAGGGGGAAAGCCTAATTGGGTGCCCGAGCAAAAATGATATTTGTACTTTGTGTGTTTTTGTGCTGGGTTCCTGGAGCTGAAGCAGCCCTCCTGGGAGGGCAGAGGTAGAAGGGAAGCAATATGTCAGGTCCAACTTCCTCTCCAGGGTTAATTTTGGACCTACCCAAGTGCCTGGAATGTGTTTTGAAACCCCCCCATATTTCTGCATGCCATCCAAGCCGTAAGCTCTTGAGCTTATGTATTCTGCCCAATACACACCCAAGGAAGGCCGAATGGCGACCCACATAGTCCTCTGAGGTGTACATACGAAAAGCGGTGCTTGTTTGGATTGTTGATTTTGATTGATTGGATTGGATGATCCGGCTGCGGTAACCCAGTTTGCCTATTTGGGTCGAGGCTCAGTGGACAGTTCACATAGACTGTCACACTGCCTGGTCATTTTATTCTTATTTTTTTATTTTTTTTTTATTTAATATTTATTGAGCACAGCTGCCCCATCGACATCAGCCCACTCCACCCTCCTCCCCCTTCAACAATCAACAAACCACAAAAAAGCACGACAAAAACATGACGAGCACCAGCCCAACCCCAAGACTGGGTGGAATACCCATGAAGTATCTCTCGCTGGTCTCCCTGACACTTCAGAACAGTCTATTGACCATACTCCGTAAGCCAACCAACCACTTCCACTCAGTCACAAGTCGCATCGGAATACTGACTGACTGACTCACTCCATCCAAACCACTGATGATGTTCCAGTCCACTACGTAAGTCTCATCTAACTCTTCAAATCAATACATTCATACTATACTCACTCCATCCTTCAACCCCATCCCCACAGTCCCGAACCGCACCCGATAACAAGGTCTACTCCGCTCCTGTCGCCGTCCTACTCAGCGAGATCCTCAAATCTATCATCTCATTCTCAATCGCCCTCTTCAACTCAACTCGCTCCAGCTTACAGCCTCGCCTACCAGGCTCACCCCCTCATCCAGCCGACCCAGCCACCTATCATGACCGACTCAAATCTGAAACCTACCACCACTCCTACCGTCCCCTACCATCAACTCAATCAACAACAACAACATCACCTCCACTTTCATCAATCATCCTCACTCAGATCAAACTTAATCTTTCCGCCATCTTCAGGTGATTCATCTCAACCATCCTTCACCTCTTCAAACCTACCATTAACCATATAATAATAACTCTACTCTCCTAACCCCAGTCGAGACTGTTGGAAACTCTCAATACCCGCCATCCTCTACGTCATTCAGAACAACCTCCAGTTTATTGCTGCCTCTCACCTCGACGTGGCCACCTTTTCAGTTACCTATCAGCTCAAGGTAAACCACCGCCACATCTTCCCTCTGAAATCAGACCACAAAAGAGCAAAAAAAACTAACTGGCCCGAAAGCTGACTTTGAAACTGGTTTCCCCAATCTGTCTCTGGCCAGATCTTGACGACTGCATTGTGTTCAGTACTGATTCTCAAGCGTAGATTATCAGTCATCAAATGGATCTCGCTACTCTTCTTGGCTATCGGCGTCGCTCTAGTCCAATTACAAAACGTATCATCCTCAACCAACACCTCATCATCTCCCGAGTCCACCGATCCAGAACAGCCCAAGATGAACCGGACTCTTGGCTTTATGGCGGTCTCCCTAGCCTGTTTCACCTCGGGTCTAGCTGGCGTATACTTCGAATTGGTCCTCAAATCATCCACCAAGGTCGATCTCTGGATCCGCAACGTCCAACTCTCGCTCTTCTCACTCCTCCCTGCCTTATTCACAGCCCTTGCAGCTTCCTCTTCCTCCCCCGAACCGATGTTTGCTCATTTTGGATTTTGGGCCTGGGCAACGATCCTGACCCAGGTCTTTGGCGGTCTCGTCACCGCGCTGGTGATCAAGTTTGCCGACAATATCCTCAAAGGTTTCGCGACCTCCCTCTCCATCATCTTGTCGACCGTTGCTGGGGTCTTCCTGTTTGACGCGCCGCTCCCCTTCGGTTCTGCGCTCGGGGCCTCCGTCGTCCTGATGTCCACTTACTGCTACAACCTCTCCTCGGGTGACTCAAGCTCTCCGGTGCCCAGTCTTGCTAATGATAAGCCCATCGGCCTTCCCTCCCCTCCAGCCGTGGTCATCGATTTCAGCCATCAACTTTCCTCTCGATATGACGAAAAGAATGAAGCGGATGACTATAACGGCGAAGATGTCCATCTGCTGCCGGACTCGACTAAGATCTGCCCAAGTCCTAAATCCTCACATTTCCCTTTGACCTTATCCTCCTCTTCAACCACCTCTTCCACCTCTTCACTCTCTCCTCACTCTCCTACTCATCAAGAAGGATTTCATGTCGTCAATAACTCCTCCAACGCCTCCCAGCTACCGCCTTATTCTCACAAGAAATAGTCCTTGAAACCCTTCCTGATCCTCATAAATCACTCTTTCATCATTTTTTTCTTCTTTATTATATGGCTGGTAACGTTCCTCAAACAATCATCTTGGGATCTGACTCATCGTGCTGCTTACTCGACTCTCTGTCTGTCTATCCAATCTCTTCAACGATCCTCTTCCCCGTGTGCCCTCGTGTATTATATCTCAGTGTCTTCGAACTATTTTTTTATTATTGGTGGAAGAACGAAACAAACAAAAAAATGCAAAAAAACTACTACTTGAACCTCCTGATTGCTACCCAACAAACAACCCAACAAACAAACAAAAAACATTCTTCTCATTTTTTCCTTGGTCTCCTCTCTATCTCTTTCTCTCTCCCTCTCTTAAATTGTAGTTATGTTGTCTTATATATACTTATGTTATTTAGTTCTAGAAGGTTTTTTTTCTTTCTCTATCTATTTGTTTTTAGCTGTACTCAAAAAACCCTACCGGAATTCAAGTTTTTTCTTCTTTATTTTTTGATAAAGGTACACCACCATACTTCTCCTCTCTCATTGCAGTTGCACTTGGATGGGAGATACAATCTCTTGTGCCCTCCCTGGAGATGAACCGAGGGTCGCTTACCTTTTTTGGCCAGGTCAGACTCACATCCATAGCTATGCATGAGCAGGTTCAATCAAAAACTGCAATCAGATCGACTTTGGAATCAATCTTCATCTCATGATGTGAGATTGCACAGATATAAAAAACAAGTTGACTTCGTTGTTAGAACCCAGTGTCATGGAGGAGTCTTTTGTTGAGTTGATGCTGGGTGACAGCAGTCGCTGCATTCATTTTGACCCTTTGGAGAGACCCTGTTGCTGAGCCGCCCGGGACTTTGCTTGGAGGTTCAACCCCCGGCCGTCGCCTCAACTTGCAGTCACCTCTTCTCCGTTGCCCCGATAACAATCTTCAGGAGTTTCTAATTTGACATTCTCTTCGACCGAAGGGGTGTGGCATTGCTATGACAAGGAGTGTTAACGCAACACCTCATGGCACAGACTGGCGAGTTCGACTCGTCGATTATCACAAGTCGGCGATGTTTCTGTGGGTGGTGATCGCAAGGATAATAAGCAATGGCTTCTTCGACTACCGGGTCGGACCCGAGCATCAAAATAGCCCTTGGTTTGGTCGATTCCGGGTGCCAACATTAAGCTCCCGAGATCAGTTATAAGATGAATTTCGTATCATTTGCTAGGGTTCCGGGACTCTGCTAGGAAGTCGACTTCGATCAAGCGGCGGTTATGGATCCTGGCTTTCATTTGGTCGTCTTTTCCTTCTCGATCACTAGCTGTTGGCCTTCGGCGGAGGCCCATGGCAGCAAACTCCCGAAAGGCCACTGCAGGAAACATTCTCGACTCCACTCAAGCCAGCCTATTTAAGCAGATGCCTTCACCGCTACTCACCTTGCCATATCTCATCACCATCATCTTCCTTAGCGATACCTCATTAAGTAGTGTAACAAAACAATGGCTTCTTTTAAACTTTTCTTGGTTGCGATGAGCTTGCTAGCAAATCACATATCTCTCTCAGACGCTGCACAATGTAACGATGGTTTCAACCTCGATTTGAAAGAATGTAAAGCGTAGGTCTGGCTTCTCTGATCAGCCTGAATAGTCTATCTATGTAGTTCATGCCGGCTCATGATCCAAAAGTTCTACGAGTTGTTCACACATGGCAATCTGGTTTTCGTTGATCTTGAATCTCTGTTTCAAACAGGGCTCGGGATTCCATCGCCTACGTGCCTGGTAAAGATATCATCAAATCGATTGAACGCGCAATTCAAGTCAGCTCCGGAAACTGCATGGTAAGTCTAGGGAATTCGGGTTCAGTCTGGAAAAATTGTTCTGGCTGAATCCAGTGGGCAGTATGATTTCAAGTACAATACATACTGACTATAAATTTGTCTTTCTTTCAGATACAAATCGATGTTGTGCCAACTCCATCGCCAGTTATTAGCAAAAAAGAAATAGAGGGAACCATCAACGACATTCTGTCATGCGCAACACATGTGCGCAATTTCTTCATTTCATCTTGTTTTATTGTAATACTTTGACTGATAGTTTACATATTTTAGGCCGGAATAAACGACCCGGTCAAGAACATCCAAGTTCAAATTAGTAGTATTCCTTCATCATATAGTGCTACCTATGGTCCAAATGAGAAGATGGATACAGCAGTCTGCAATACAGATGCAGATGGTGGCAAAAATGAGCAGCAAGATTGTTTGAAGTTTGTTTTGCCTGTTATCAACCAGCAGACAAGAATAGAATCTGATGGTTCCTGCTTGTTATATCTCTAGGGCCTTTAATAAAATCTCCACCAACAAACAGGGTCAGTTACTTGATGAAAATGGGCGAGCAACATACAAAATTTCAAGGAAGGAAAAATCATGTATAGTGAGTCAACCTGGTTCAAAGTTTTTGATCAAAAAGTGGCCTGCTTCAATAATGCTTATTTTTCAAACATATGATTTGATCAATTCAGGTACAGATTTCTTCCACTAATGGTCTACCAGTGACTGAGTTAGTATTTCAAGAATCAATTTGGATTGTATAACCTGCTTATTTATTTCAACAATACTGATTTTATTTTTTTTGATAAAGAAAATTGGATAAACTTTCAAAATCTCTCAACATAATACTGAACACATGTAAGAAGCAAGTAAGTCCAGTTTCAATAAATGTAGGAACCACATAGAGATTTACTGATGATTTTCTTGACAGTCTGGTTATCTGGCACGACTTCGTGGGACAGATGGACTAAATGGAAGATTATCAGTGAAAACATTGAGTGCTTCAACTTGAATATGTACAATGCTCTGCATTTAATTACTCTGTCCCTTTATATGAAACTGTTCAAAATTCATCACTTGATATATTTGGTATACAATAGTCTATAGCAATTGTCCCAAGTTTCAAAAAAAAAACTCAATTCTTTCTTGAGCATCCTGTTTGAGTATTGAAATTTACAAACTGTACTTCATCTTTATTTTCTCTCTTTGTTCAGTCATCTCATGTTTGATTCATTCCTGAAATTTTTTCCTGTATTAGCTGGAAGTGTCTGTCTTCTTTTGAGTGTGAAGACCTTACTTTCTCTGCACATTTCAAACACAGTTTTGCATAAAGGTCTCAAATGTGAAATTTCATGTTCTGAATGCATGAACAGCAAGATTTTCTAAGTCCATTGGAATCAGACTCTGTTTTGAGGCTCTTTGACCTTGGTATCAATCTGCACTGCCGCCAGGGATACAGACTTCTCACCATCTTCAGAAAGCTGAGGGAAAAAAATGAGAAATTTTCAGGTTCCACATTTCATAAAGCTCATTCCACTATGATTGCCAGCTCTGTTCTCTTATGTGACCAAGATTTGATGGGGGAATGGGTCACACTATAGTCAAAGAGTGACCAGTGGAAAATAAGCCCAACTCAAAACTTGCACAGTGGAGGGGCTAGCTCGAGTCCTTATAAAAATAAGGGACAACTGTGCAATGAGCTGAATTATTATAAGAGAGATAGAGTAGTGCTAGTCTTATAAGTTAATAAGAATTAACACCTCTTGTTATCTGTGATTTAAAATAATTCATCTTGTCTAACTCATCTTGCCTGACTACAAGAGACTGAGAATTTTTGTCTAGTTTGTTAAGTTCAAGAACTTATTTTATCTTCTCTCAATTTTTATTCAAAATACCTTCTTTTATTGATTTTCATCTCTACCAAATTTTGTGCACTTGTATTTAGTCTATTTAATCCTGGCTAGATACTTGTGAATAAAAATCATTGGTTCTTTACTCTCCTTCTCTGTGAACCTTTCCCAAAAAAGGGCCCCTGCTTTTTTGTGCCATTTTCTCAAAATTCTTCAACTTCATCCAATCAAGAGCCCAAAAATTCAACAACTATTCCTTGGGGTAAAGTGTCAGGATATCCAAAGCATGCTAAATTTACATGTGTTGAATATATTTTATTTCAGAAAATACACATAAGACAAATAAACAGAATAATCATACAAACAAGAGAGATAAACAGGATAATCATCTCTTGGATACACCCAAGAGATAATTATCCTTTTCAAATTGATTATAATTTTCATAGAAGAGGTATATTAATAAAGAGGTGAATCTTTAGTAATTTACAGAATAATTATTAACATAAATAATACATATAATAATAAATAACATTAATGAATACTTGTTAACTTGAAGAGTACATATAACAATACTTCTTATGTAACCCAGGGGGGGGGGGAATGATAAGCACACGCCTCCCCCCCCCCCTCGCGCACACCAAACTGCATACCAGCAGCAGATTGGCGTGCGCGCCTGCACACCAATCGGCTGCAGGGTAGATTGGCCTGTAAGCCAAACTGGGTCCTAAACCCATATGTATATGTGTTTAGGACCAGGGCTATCCAATAGGACCCAGGCCTGGGTCCTATGGGATAGCCCAGAGTGTGATGTTTTTTTTTCAAGAAAAAAAAGAATAATAATAAAAACCGCTTGAGGCTGGGAACCCCTCCCAGCCAAAGCCTCTGTTCACCAGCTTGTTGGGAGGGGTTCCTCCTGGCGAGCCGGTACTTAAACCAGCTCATCAGAAGGAATCCCTTCCAACAAGCTGGTGTACACAGCTCTCCGGGAGTAACCCCTCCCGACGGGCTGGTGAACAGAGGCTCTGGCTGGGAGTGGTTCCTCCCAGCCTCAAGCGGGTTTTTTTATTGTGTTTTTTTCTTGAAAAAAAAAACATCACACTCTGGGCTCCTGGTCCTAAACCCATCACTACAAAAACTGTTGGATCACATTGTGAAAATGTGCGGTAACATCACATGTCACATGTGATGTCACCTCACATTTTCAAAATGTGATTGAATTTTTAGCCCTAGCAATTCGCTTGCATTGTGAAAATGTGACGTGACATTGCATGTGATATGTGATGTTACCACACATTTTCACAATGCAATCCAATCCTTTTGTAGTGCATATAAATATGGGTTTAGGACCCAGTTTGGTGTGCAGGCTTGCACGCCAACTGCAGGCCAATCTACCCTGCAGAAAATTGGTGTGCAGGCACACACACCAATCTGCTGCTGGCATGCAGTTTGGCATGCACAAGGGGGGGAGGTGTGCGGTTATCATGCCCCCCCAAGGGGGTTACATTCTTTTGTAGAGACCTGGGCTAGTGTCTCAGTGTCTGACAATGACTGTCAGAATTTCACATGCTAGGAGGCTTTGGTGAAGCCTTCACTGTGGGCCTTTGTAAGTGTCTAAAGCACCCTACCACCCCTTTGTTTAATACTGCAATATGCATATGTTTTAGGTAAGCTACAATTGAAGTATGAACCAAGATCTATATGTAGCCTCTTGATGTTACTTGTCAGCAAGTGACACAACCTTTTAATTTGTGGTATTCATCTCACATATTTGATCTGGAGAGATTAACCCACCAAGGTGGATTCTAGATCTGTAAGGGCCAAAATGGCTCTTGGCTAAATTCTTGGATAATATTGATCTGGAGGATAGGATCAAATAATATTGAAAAAATCTTCTAGAACCAAGCTGAGGTTTCTGTATTTGCCAGCTCAGTAGATGAAGGTTTTAATATTTCCAACTTACAAGATTTACTAGAGAAAGAAAAGAGAGGAAAGGAAAATAAAATTGAATTAAAAAGAATTTAAGAACTATTCATATAGTAAATATAGTAAGAATTCCCCACTGGACCCCCCAAATAAAAATTATTTAACACTGTTTGTAGGTGCTGAAGTCCATTTTTTTCAATGAAAATGTCATATTGCACTTGATTAGGATGGTGTCAAATGCAGCCTGAGTTGTGATATTAATTTCACAGCATGCTCATCTATAAAAAATGTGTAGTACATATGTGGTTTGTTAGCCTTTGGCCAATTTATATGACTTTTTTTTTGGCAAACTGAAACTGTTGCTTGATCTCGCACATTTGAGAGTTGCAATGCAGAATCATGGGTGGGTGTCTGGACAGGTTCATGATGTGGGAACTGAGTTGGATTGGAGGGATATAAAAAAAAGTTTGCTTTGCTGCTAGCACCCAAGATTCAGCAAGCAAATGATTCCTTTGCTTTCTTGATGCTAGGTACCAGCAGTGTTCATTTTTTTTAATTTATATGGCAAAAGTTTTGTTGAGGTTTCAAAACACTGCTTGGACTCGGAGGTTGACAACAAAAATCAGGCTCTTTGGCTGCTGCCAATTGAGACTATGCAATCGACAGGTCTTGGGTTGCTTGGTGTTGGTTGCCGACTGTTTGAAATCACCAATGTGCAATTTCGGCTTTTTAGAGAAAGCCATCAAGTCGACTCGGGTTGATCAGGCGCCGGTTAGATCCACCTTACATAAATACTCTGTCTGTTTCTTCTCCCCTGCTCTGATATGCTACGCAGGCCGTCGACGGAGGTCCATGACACCCAGGCCGTTTCCGAGATGGCCTTGGCAACATTCCCCTGAAGTTCAACAGCCCTTCTTGAGTCTCAACACTAGAGACTCCACTCGAGCCAGGATATTTAAAATGGTACCTGATCTACCGCTTGCCTTACTATATTTCACCAGAATCTCACTTAGTGATACACAGGAGTCATAATCTCACTTAGACATAGGAGTCAAAGCAAAAATGGCTAATCGAACACCATTCCATGTTTCCTTTGTTGTGATCAGCTTGCTTGCGCATCTTTCTTTCTCTATCAGCCAAAAAACCCCGTTGACTTGCTCAAAAATTATCACACTCGACAAAGGCGAATGTGTAAAGTATGATGCTTTCTCTCAGTTATTCCCCTGATTATGGTTCCTTTGAAACCCATTATCAACATGCTGGCTCACCAGAAGAGTTTTATTGATGCTAAACATCTATTTATAAAAACAGGGCTCGAGATTCGATTTCCTACACGCCGCGTGGTACAACCAAACCAATTGAGCGCGTGATTCCGGTCAGCTACTCAAAATGTTTTGTAAGTTTGGGGGCTTTAGATCCTGCTATTGATTTTTATGCAATCCAGGAATTCACAGACATACTGATCAGAGATTTCTGGTTCTGACAGATACTAGTCAATACTACTCGATCTACGGCGGAAGTTTTTTCCAAGGCAGACATTGATAAAAATATCAATCAGATTCTGGATAAATGTTCCAGTCATGTGCGCATTTTCTTTATTCAACATTATTCAATAAGGGCTGCATATCCAAGTATATAATCAGACTTACAATTTAACCTTTTAGGCTGGAAACTACAAACCTGATACCAATCTCGATGTGCAGATTCGCGATATTCCTAGTTATCTTACCAATGTTTATGGCGCCTTTCAACACATGAATGAAGCAGTCTGTAATACAGATTCAGATGGTGGAAAAAACGATAAGAAAGATTGCACAGAGTTTGTTTTTGTTATTATCATTCAAAAGAATAAAAATAAACCTGATGATTGCTGCTGGTTAAATCCCTAGTGCCTTCAACAAGATTCCTACCAACAATCTTGATCAATTACTGGACAAACCAGGTGGGAAGACAGCAAGCAAAATCATAAGTCTGGAAAAATCATGTAAAGTGAGTCAACCTGGCACAAATGTGCACATAAAAACTTGGACTTCTTCAGTAATCCTTTGGAATGCCTTATCATGAACGTAACCAGATAGAAATTGCTTCAACTAATGACTTACCAGTGACTGAGTTAGTATTTAAATAATCAATTTGAAATGATTGGACAGTTATTTCAATGACACTGATTTTACCTATTCCTACATGTGTGTGATACAGACAAAAGAAAAAACTTTTCAGCTCTCTCAACAAAATATTGAACTCATGTAATAAGCAAGTGAGTTTAGTTTCAATAAATACAGGAGCTATGTAGAGATTTACTTACAATTGTCTTGACAGTCGGGTTATCTGGGACTAGAGAAAGGGACAGATGGACTGAATGGAAGATTATCAATGAAAACATTGAGACCTGATGCATGAATACAACAATGTATGCTCAATTACTCTATTCTCATGTATAAAATTTAAAACTGTTCAAAATTTCCTTCCATCTTCCCTTTTTCCAAAATTGATCTTGATTTTTACCAACCTATATTGATCCTAAATTTTCCAAGTTGTAAAATGAATCTTCTTTCTGTAGTGTACCTTGTTGAGATACCTGTCACATCTCATTTCATGGTGTATGCTTCTTTCTGATTTCACTTCTCTCATGTCACACTCTGTGACATTCGCTTGTTTTCCTTTCAGTTCATATACTGGATTTAGTTGTGTTTGGGAGGCTTTCCTTTCCTCATCCTTTCCAACACTTCTGTCTCCAGGTATGTTCTTTTCTTTCTTCTCATTCTCTCTTTCTTTATGTTGAAATAAATCATCTATACTTTCCAACACTTCTGCCTCCAGTCACCTGAGTTCATCTCAACATACCTTTCCCAAAGTGGAATTTGATTTTTCAACTCCTTAACGCTTGTCAACACTTGTTTTCTTTTAATTTGGTAAGAAATATTGATAACAAGTTCAAATGATTGTGAAATTCCTCTGAAATTCTATACACTTGTACTTAGCATGGTAAAAACCAAATTGTTCCCATTGAATCAGATCCTATGTCTAGTATTTTCCCTAAACATATATCTCAACCAGGGATGCATTTTTCTTTCCCTTTTCTGTAGAGAGTTGGAGAAAACTCTTGACACCTTGTGATGGTAGAATTTGAGTTCTTAGCACTTTTTCCTAATCCAGATTATTCAACCTGTTTTTTTTCATGTATAAATGTATACACATATGACTATATGAGAAGATAAATAACAATTAGTTCTGGTCATATTCTTCCCTCCCTGAGCCCATCAAGTGCCTGATGAGGCCTCTCAATTATTCAGTAGACTGTTTGACTCACCAAGTTAAATACTTGGAATGACCAAAGAGCGGTTCATGCACATTGCATTAGATCTGAGCTTTTTCTCACTTCTTCAATCTAAAGCTTTGAAAACAAAATAAACATATCTGAAAAGCCATTTAGTGATAGCCTCTTCTTATGAATTTACCAGATTAAAAAAATGGGGGGGGGTTCACAATTGTAATTTACAAAACTTTTAAAGCCCATTTTAACGTGTTGATGACGTGCTTTTTGAAAAATGAAAAAAAATAAACTTGATCGTCCAGAAACTCCAAAATATGGATAAATTTCATTTGGGACCCCCCCCCCTCACATACCCTGAACTATCAACCAAAGGCCCCTGCTGGTAGTAGTGCTACTGTTATGCATGTCAACATACTTCGGAATGATGATTTTATAAGATCACAAGCAAGACTAAAATGGAAAGCAACACACACAGCTGACTCATAGAATGAGTGATTTTATCATTAGACATAAAATCATCTGCATAGCATACATACCTTGGTTCAAGCTGGCACATAAATTACACTGCTGCTGTGCTGCTAATCCATTTATATCTTCCAGTTCCTGATTGCTCTGAAAGGGTATCTGTTGGAACCAGAGGTAGATGAAAAGATTGAATTCAACCAGGGAAGAAAGTCCAGATTCTAGCAACTGACAAAAATTGAAAACCTCATGAACTTAAACTCAAGAATAATATGCTAATGGGGCAGCATTGATAATGATTATATAGAAGTGAAGGGAAAACGTCCAGTGATGTCTAGACCACACCAAGGTATGACTGAGAACTAGTTCTTTCTCTGGCACAGGTTAAACCCGTTGTTCTTCAGTTCACACAATGCTGAAATGTCTCATGAAATCTCACATTTAATTTTCACTGGCGTCGTCACCAATCGTAATGACTGATTGTGAAAAGTGCTACACTTGTGCTATTCAAGATAACAAGCTCAAGGAGCTACATAGGGGCCTCGAAGGTGCACCTGAGAGTGAAGTTGAGCAGTGTCACTGGCCAAAGTTGAAGGAGGCGAGGGCAAGACTGAGCATGCCATTTTACATAATGCCTCCCCTTAACCAAGTCGTTTAAATCAGTAAGGCTTCAGGCTTGGTCAGCCATCGGAGCAACGGCATCGGCGTGCCGGGTAGTCATGAGGACGGTTCGCTGAAAGGATTCCATGTCTGTATGGTATGTACTGTCTACAAAGTTTTGCTTGGACACCTGTGACTGTACCGCTACATAATCGTGTTGTAGTGACCAGGAAGCCACATCGGCTTTGTAACCAGGAAGTCCCACCTGGATGTGACTCAAGGGAATATGGTGATGCAAGAGGCGATACCGGATATAGCAACCTCTGTTCGATGAATTGTCACGACTTATCAAGCTGAGCAAGCATTCCGCTGATACCCGAGCAAGCATTTCACCGATATCGCCAACTTATTTGCCAGTTGTCCTTCCTTTCCAACTTCCGGGCCATTCTTGACCTACACATTTTTCGATTCCAACCTAATCAAAACCCTTTGTTAAAACGCTGGCGTGAGAAGACTATACTGAAAATCGCATCGAAAGGAGAAGACCCATCACGACCCATTAGACAATCAGAACATGCTCAGTCGTCGGACAACGTTCTATATCATTTGGGGAGCGATCCACCTTTTTATATTCATCTACGGGTGGTGGAAGCAGGAGACAGATCAACGATTAGCTGCACTGAATAAGCTAGAGTACTCAGTTTGGATTTCTAGGGGCGCCGGCTTATGCCTTTGTCTCGATGGGTTCGCACTTTTTATACCAGGTAAGTAAGGAATATGCCTGATTATATTTTATCGTTCCTTCGACCTGGTTTCGCTAATGCTGGTCGTTCCCTTGGCGCCGCCGTGCATCGTGCAGTCTGCAGAAACCTTATGCACCTTTTAAGACCGAGGATAGGATGGCTCGTCTCAGTCGACAGGTGTGTACCGACTCATAGGCTTCCATAGGAATGACAACATACACTTATTTCGTTTTTTTTTCTGGCTGAAAGTAACATTTGGTTTCATCGTCAGGTTGCCTACACCACCTTATTCTTTACCGCGTAAGTTATCCCAAATTGTCACGCGTGGTCCGCGTCAGATCGACTTACCGCAAAAGTATTGGAAATCCGCATTTATCTCATTTGTATGTTCAGAATTCACACCACAGCCCATTATGTGAACATGTTCCATGTTGAAACAACTCAGATCCGACCCGAAAAGGCAATCGAAATCATGTACAGTGAAACGGGACCTTTGACTGGTCACATTATGTTGTTTATAATGGTCTTGATGTACACTACGGCGGTAGGCTTCTCAGAACTTGGGTGCCAATAAGAGTCCACCCAGTTATCTTACTTCAATCTTCCTCCGCTTGAACAGTCCACAAAAATTCGAACGCAGTGCTTCGAGGCATTTTGGTACACCCATCACTTGGCATTCTTCTGGGCGGTAAGTATCACTCCCGAATTCAACCAGCCGTGAATTTTACTCTTAAGGACTGAAGCAATACTGACTGATTTTTTCTGTGGGTTTTTTCGACGTGCAGTTATGTTTGTATACCCATGCCGCCGGATGCTTCGTCCGAGGAGCCCTCCCAGATCATAAAGCCCAATGCTTGGGATACAATAGCGTCTACGTGACTGTTTGGAGTGGGCTCGCATACTTTTGTGACCGCGTCTTCAGAGAAATCAGAGGAAGGGGTCGGAGTGAAATCAGTGCGGTCTTGATCCATCCGTCTGGAACGGTCGAGATCCGAATGCTCAAAGCCGGATTTAAATACGTACCTGGGCAATGGATTTTCTTCCAAATGCCTGAAGTCTCTCGATTTCAGTGGCACCCGTTCACGATTTCTAGTGCTCCGGATGACCCATATATCTCGATTCACGTTCGACAGGTTGGTGACTTTACCAAGGCTGTTGGCACTAGGCTGGGTGCCACACCCCAGCTTATGGCTACACTCAATCAACCATCCGAGTTTTCGGTGGAAGATTGTGGCGAATTTCACGATATCACTACCATCAGATCTCGAGACTTACCTCTGGTTCGGATCGATGGGCCTTATGGCTCACCCGCCCAAGACGTTTTCAAATGTGAAGTAGCGATATTGATAGGAGCAGGGATTGGCGTGACACCCTTTTCGAGTATTTTGAAAAATATATAGTAAGTATCAACTCCCCTTGTTTCTTTTTTTTGTTTATTCTCTTTCCGCCAGAGTGAAACACAGAATAGCTCAATGTTTTTCTAATCTACCCCAACCAATCCTAGCTACATGCAAGCACAGGGAAAGCTTGGTTTACTGAGAAAAGTGCAGTTTATTTGGATCAACAAAGTATGCTCAATAACGTTTATCACTTTCCTGGACAAAAGCAACTGCTGACATCTCTTTTTTGTTTTCATTAAGGAAATCACCTCATTCAGTTGGTTCAAAACCTTACTGAAAAATCTAGAAGATATCCAACATGATTACTCATTCTTAAGGATGGACATGTATCTAACCGGATCAATGGATGAAGATACAATTTCAAATGTAGTCCTGAACACGGGTGCCCACAAGTTTGATTCATTGACTGGCTTGAAGTCGCAAACTCATTTTGGCAAGCCACATTGGAAAAAAGATGTGTTTGATCCAATCAGGAAAGCTATCCATTCTGGAGATTGGTACGAAAGGGATATCTCTGGGACAACTAAAGTTGGATGTTTTTATTGTGAGTTTAGCTTCTTGTCAATTCTTTCATGGATACTTTTCGCTAGAAGCTACCCGCTTAAGATCTAACGTTCCATCCTTTTGTTTTACTGCTTTTCAGGTGGCCCTCGCCCACTAGCCAAAACTTTAGAACAAGAATGTCGCCAAGCTACTACGGATAAAGTCAAATTTGAATTTCATAAAGAGAGATGTGAGTTCAACCTCCTTTCTACCGGTAAACCAGATCACCCAGGAAAGAAAAAACTGATTGCGCATATTTTATGACAGTTTAACTTGTTACACTTGGCATTTGTGATTTTTTTTCTTGTTTCCGTCTTGAACATATCTCTTTTCTTGACAAAAATTAATGACCTGTAAATAATTTGGGGCCAAAAAGTGAAAGATTTTGGTGTAAATGTATTTACCTATTTGTATCTTTCTTTTTTTTTCTCCAAGGATCTTCATCTCTCCTTACACCTGCTCTCCCCTGATTGTTTGTATTTTTTATCCAGCTGTGGACTCTTCAACTTTCATGAATCCCCTTGAATGTGCATAATACAAATAACTATAGATTAGTTTGCAAAAAATCTAAATTGACCTTTGAAAACACGCAGTGAATCAACATCCCTGAGTGGAAGGGGATTTGCATGTTCTGAGCTTTGATGCTTGTTGCCAGTCAGTTGAGGTCTACTTCTCCAAATCTTTTCTGTCTCTTTTTCTTTCTAGCTCTGTCGGAACCATATCCTTGGGCTCACATAGATGAGGGCAGTACCCAAAAAAGTGTCACATGTTCGTCCAACTCCATTTTAAAATAAAAGTTACACCCACCTTCACGACACAGGTAGCGCGCCCACGGTGCACTGTTTAGAGCATCCGTATCAGTGGCTAGTTTAGCTCAAGCTATGCATTGTAGATGGGGACACATCCAAAAGGCATCCTTGAAATTCTCCTGAATATATCACAAGCTCCAGAACTAAAGACCATTGGGATCTGTTTTTTCAAATCTCCTCCCCAACACCAAGAAGGCCTTTTATGAGCAAGAAGACAATAAGTTCATCTTTGAGCTGGCCTGGATGGTTGTCAAGGATTCATCAAAGTTCAATTTGTTGTGAATGTATAGACTAAAGTAAAAGTAGTATTTCATGAGCGCCAGCTAAATGAAATACAAGGTGAAAAGAAAGAAGAAAAAGAAAAATATAATCACCTACAAGCAGTAGATTGCTAATGATAAGAACAAAAATACAATTGTATACTAAAACAATAAGTGAATGAATAAAGAAGTGATGATAGAAGATGCATTTCAGAGAAGAAGTAGTTGGTGATTCGTTGGATGGAAGGGAATGGTCAAAGCAAGAGTTGAAGCGGATGAGAGACAAGAAGGGATGAGATAAGATGTTTGTTGAGATAAAAGCTCGTCAGAAGAGAATGGTTGTGAGGATGAGTAATGAAGAAAGACAAGAGAAGATGTTCATCTTATGAGGATGGCTGGATAAACTTTGGGTCAAAATAATATGAAGAGGAGTTATGTTGGAGGAACTGATGAAATGTGATGAGGTCCTAGGAGGAAGAAAAGTTGAGAAGAGATGAGGGATGATAAGGAAAAGAAAGAATTGGAAAAAGGAATGAAAGGGTTCATGTAGGATGATTTCATTGCAAAGGCTTGAGAACTTCAAGGGTTCAAGCTCAATGATGTCACCATGAGTATAGTGTTTTGATCTTGAGTATGACGATGGTCTGAAGTTTGCACTAGAGCTCAGACATCAACATTTTCTGGTGCAAACATGTGGTGGTCAAAGTAAACAGGCTACAACCCCAGCCCCCACTCCTACGCCATCTACACCTGCTGCTCAGTCCAATGCTGCTATAGGCAATTCTCAACCAGAAAAAATCATGCAAATTGGATTGGACATTTCTTGGAACCCTCCTGCTGGAATTCATGCAACAAAACATGCAATGAATTAAGAACAATTCAATGCTAAAAAAATAAAAGTGATGTCTGAAAAATTGAGTGAATACCACAAACAAACCATTGCAACGTCAACAGGTTACTAAAGCTGAATTCAGCCAAGTGAATATGGAAATCATGTCTAAGAACAAGGAGGAACTACTGAATGATGTATCTCATGAATTCTTGTTCCTTCAAAAGGGAAAAATTATTGAGGATCTTTGCAAGCAAATCAAGCAGAGACAAAAACTAGCAGCAGAGAAGGAAAAACAAACCAAAGCACCAGCAGGTTCTTCAAACCAACTTGAAGCATTGGCGGCTACAAGTGAGGGTGATAGCACCTATGAAGAGGATCCATCAAGCAATGCCAAAGACTCTCAAAACATTGGTGATGAAGACACCTTAGAGCAACTCCACCCCGGGTGGCATATGTAGGATTTGCCACCTGAAATCAGGCAGGTAAGCCACTGCAATGTGGTAAACCTGCACTGAGGATCAGATGAGCAAGGTCAAGTGAGGGATATTTGAATGTGAACGGGTTGAAATTATGGGGGTTTCACAGGTTGGAGGGGTGGTTTCACAAATCTGAGGGAGCTACCAGGGGTGGTTCAGAGATGGTAGATATACAAACTTGGTACATCTTTTGGACCAAAATACAGCCCTGTATACCACCTGCGGTGGTGGGGTGTTTTGAGAGTTGGGATGGTAAATGGGGCTTACCACCCCAATATAACTTCTGTGGTGGAGATGCTCTTAGATCTATTTTTTCATCAAAAAAACATTTTTTCTGAAGCCCTCTGGCAATAGCCCGGTTCACAATAGCCAGTTCCAATGGCTGACCACCCTGTTAAAAGTTGCTGGTAGCAAAAACTTTTTAGGATGGATCTGGAATAATCTGAGGGACTCTGGACTACACATTCAAAAACAAATGTGTTTTTAATCGTCAATGATTTGCTGATAATGGCTAAAAAATTTGCTGATGACTGGCTATTGTGGACTGGGCTAATAGCTCTAATGTGAGCTGGTTGTATTCTTAATTGTGTTGCTGATTTGCAAGCTTAGCTAGGCCTCCACGGCGGGAGCGGTGGCAAGCAGAGGAGCTGTCCATGCCAGTGGAGGCCTATGCTTGAATTCCAAATCCCCACATGGTGAGTTTGCAGAATTGGGCTGAAAACCAGTTTTTTCTGTGTACTTTCCCATCTAGGCTCTTCCTCATTCATATTTATCAGATTTCCTTCTGGGCCTGGGAGGGCCTGCTTCTTGCACATATTTCTCACTGTTCACTTTTTTCTGTTATATCTTCAATTTTTTTGCAGAAGTTGTTGAAAAGGACAAATTTTCAATTCAAGTTGACCTCTTTTGGTGTGTTTGAGTTGAGCAAACCCCACGTTTGAGCTTAAAAAAAGTTCAAACCATGATTTTAAAAAATCCTCATAAAATTACAAGGGGCTGTCCTGGTTTTGAGCTTTGAAGAGGTTGACAAGATCATACAGTGCTTCAAGAAAATCTGCTCAAAAATCCTCAAAGTTTTGAGGGAGTGTCATGATTCCAAATCTTGTGATGCTCCCACCAAAACAGGAGAAACTCAGCACATCAGTCTGTTGACCTTGGTTACATGTCTCCCCTGCAGGGAGTTCCCTTTGGGAACCTCCTGGCCAGCGCTACACTGCCAGATGCGCCCACCGCAGCCAAGACTTTGTCAAGTTTGGCTGATTTGGAACTTGGAGAGGTCTGAAAAGCTCTCCAAATCGTGACAGGAAGTCCTCCATTTGGTGTTTGTTTTTCTGACTTGAATTTGAATGTGTTGACCTCTTTTCTTTTTGAAAATTAAGTCACATGCATAAAATTGTAATTGTGCAGATCAGAATGGGAGGGGAAAAAAGTTAGGGCAGAGGATTTAATAGAGTGGGAAGTGGTGACAAACAAGCTGTCTTGTAAATGAGAAATGGCAAGAAGCTAAATACATAAAAGGTTGAGTGATTAAAAAGCTCACTCTCAGGAGTAGGAGTCCAACTAATTTGAATGAGCTGTGAGTCTAACTTAACTAAGTCCCCATTGGAGGAGTCTAATGAGCTGTGAGTGTGGATGAGAAGTAGTTGATTACGTAATCGGCTGCTACACACTCCCAAGTCCCCAAAGACAGCTTGCACCTTAACAAAACCATCACCAACCACACAAAAACCAACCAACCAACCAACCAACCAAGACAGACCATCAAGGATGGAAGACGAGGAGAAGAAGAGGAAGAAGAAGGACGAGGAACAGAAGGACGAGGAACAGAAAACACTCTCACTACCCACCCTCACACTCGATCCACCCACTCAAGACAAATCTAACTATCGATGCAAGTATGATCCTGCCCTGGATACCAGTCTCGTCAAGAAGAGCGCTGGTCCACTGTGGGTCTCTTTCCACTCCACATGTCTGTCTGATTCCCCCATCATCATCATCATCATCATCATCATCATCACCAGTCTCTACCTAGCTTACCAGTCACCCCTGCTTCTCTCCAGCTACCGGCACTCAAAACCAGCACTGCTCATCAAACCAAACCCAAACCGAGACCCACGACTCAAATTGGCCTACCCCTCTCCACTATCTACTCATCCAACCACCCCTTCTGGTCGTTCAGCCCTCATCGCCGGCCTATCCCGTTCATCCCGTACCAGGCAGGCCTTCCATTCGAGGGTCGAACTAATACCATCCTATCCCTACGATCGAAACAGTCTCGGCCCCCCTCCCCCTCCACCCCCATCAGCGATCCTGATCACCATGTTAGATAAACTGGTCACCGGCGAACAGGTGCGGAGTCATTTCTCTCAGTTTGGCAGGATTGCCGAATGTGAGATCAAACTGGACCCTCAAACAGGTGGCTCCCTGGGTATCTGCTGGCTACGATTCCTCAATCAAATCACTCATCCTACCGCTGAATCTCGTCACAGTTCATCCTCTCAAACTCCGACCATCAGCAGTATCAGCAACAAGAACAATCGAGACCAACAGGATGGTCATCAATCTGCACTCGCTGCCGTCAAAAAGGCCAATGGGGCTAGGATCGGCTGTATGTTGAACATGGGCCCGGCCCCCACTAGCTCATCTGCTTCCAGGCGACTTTCAACATCAAACAAACTGCAGCATTACGGTATCCGATGTCAACTCGATGGTCAAGGTAAAAAATGTGAACAGGCCGTCGCCGAACAACTCGATCTACTCTATCCCCCTCTACCACCTCCACCTCCACTCCAAGACCTCAGCCCTTCACCCCTACCACCACCTCCCCTACAGCTCGATTCTCATCTCTCCCCAGCCCCCACCAACCAACCGCTGCTACCCTCACCTTCACACCAACCATCCACTGTGACTAGCTCATCCCATCCGTCAGTTCCAGCCCCTAATCATCTCACTCCTCAACATCTTGAACTTGAATCTGAAATTTCGAAGCGAATATCAACCTCTATCACCCTTGCCCCCTCCCCTCATCCGATAAACCATCTTTCACAGTCAACCCCTCATCATATTCCGACTTCAATCAATCAGCTCACTGGATCAGACAGTCATGCTCTTCACTTAAACGATCAGGCCTTCTTACCTTCAGAAATTGACCCCAGCTCTCAATCATCACTGCCACCACCACCACCTCAGGCGGCTCTAGCCCACCCACCCACGATTCCCTCAGCCATGCGCCACAGAGATTACTCTCAGCTACCTTCTTCCTCGACTCGACATCTATCCACCCCATCAGTCAAATCTAAGATCCCAGAATCATCACATCTTTCATCGAGTCTGACCAGTTCCAAGATGCCCATGGTCCTCAAGACCAGTCATTACATCAAACAGGGCCATGTGGCTAGCTCATCAACTCGTAGCAAAATTGCCGCTGGGTTTGTTGCGGCAGCCCAAACCGCAGCGATCACGGCCGCGAAGAAAGCAGGTCTCAAGCTATCCTCTCACGAGCAAACAGAGGAGCACAGAAGGTCGGGTTCCAGGGACCGTCGTGGAGGTCGGAGGAGTCGGTCGAGTAGCACGGATTCGAGGCCGTACATTCCGAAAAGTGGCAGTTCAAAGAGCGGCTCAGATGATTCCGAATCGGAGAGTGAAGATGAGGATGCGCGAGAAGAGAGACAGAAGGAAGAGGCCCGCGAAGAGCTGATTCAGAGTCGCACTTTCCACCGTCCTGGTCGACCAGATCTCAGACCTACAACAACCTACAAACCATCAATACCTCGTCCATCCCTACCCGGACTATCCTTACTATGGCCTCACAATCATATCGGGATCGATAAATCAATCAAAATCGAGATCTTGAAGCGACTCTCACTCAATCACTTCAGCTTTTTGACCATTAATCGTGTCCATTTGGCCGAAGTTCAGGAACGATGTAAGGTCTTCTACGGACAGGCTGAACTGAAAGAATACTTCTCGAAATTCCAACCCGACCAGGTTTGTAAATTTTTCTCCTCATTTCCTCCTCATCTCACTAAAGAAATCATTTTGTTCCTATATATTTGAATGTAATTATTGTATCTGAGATGTTTCGATTGGTTCACTATTTTGTTATTTTTTTTTTCTATAGATGAAACTTGCTCTGGTGCTCACTTAATTTCCTTGTGACTATTGATTCACAGATCATGACCGACGGGCAGATGTGGTACATTACGTTCCTGACTCCCAACAACGCACAATTGTCATACGCGTACATCCACTCATCAAGCTACGTGGGTACCAAGTTGCCGATCGAAGTTCACGAACCGATTACTCCGCAGTACTTTCGAGAGTTGGTAGACAACAACATGCAACCTTTGCCAGTCCGAAGAAGGTGCAATGATGATGAGCCTAGTGATCGTCGGCCCGCACAAGAGAGAGCAGATGATGTTGATCAAGAAAGAAGGCAAGTAGTTGTGGAAGAGATAGAGAAGAAGCAAAAAATCGACAGCCGGCCTAAGCACGATGATTCCGACCGGGCCGATCGGTCAATTGAAAGTAAACCTCAGGCAGATCTTCAAAGACTGGCTATCATCAGCGCTCCTCAACCTCCTCTGCGAACTCTGGGACATCCAAGTTCTTGGGAAAACAACCCAGATCAACGATCAGCAATTTTAAAATTGCCATCATTTTCGAAACGGAAATCCTCTCAATCCGTCACCAAGAATTCCAGCCAATCAAGATCTCATGACAATACCAACCCGGCTCCCCCTGGTGGTATAAAGAAGGATAATTTGAGCAGGCAATCTCTGATTGAAGATGACGAGTCAATTGAAACCACCGGCAGAGCCTCGTCACACAAACAGGCGATCGAAGATGATGATTTTGCATCAATTGCCTCTTCCGACGTCAACCAGCCTCGCCGACGCAGACCTAACAGTACTCGAGAGTCACGCCCACCCGTGCAGGAGACTGTTCCATCATCATCTCCCACACATGCCATTTCGGATGAAGAATCAGATAAAAGGCCTAGCTACCCAGCCAATCCGCCACCGAGACCGATCAAGAAGCGGGTCGTCCAGCCCGCCAAAAAACGGCGGTTCCAGAAAGTAGCATTTACGAGTAGTGAGGAGGAGGAAGCAGAAGAAGAAAAGAAGGATCAGCCACCCAAAAATAAGAAGTGGAAACGCGCTCAGTTGGCTACTGAAAAAGATGAGAAGACTCAAACGGTGGTCGAGGTCCCACCTTGTCCTGAGGAGCCCAAAGTGACGGTGGATGAGATCATCCTCGATTCTCCCATTGGCGTCTCGGCACCGTCTCCCAGAGCCCCTGGAACCTTAGATTCATTGGCAGAGAGCGAGGTACCGCCAACTGAAAGCATACTGGAAGTCAAACCGAGGCGGAACAAGAAAGTTCGTCTATCAGCCCAAGCCCGATCATCAACAAAGAAGGCTCAGAATGGGCGTATGGTGGTAGATGAGGAACAAGCAGTTCCGAGGCTCGAAGAGGTAGCCGAGGACGCAGAGGATCTATACTTTGTTAAATTGGCGTTGAGCAGGTCGAGGTCCGGCCGAAGTCTTCATCCACCGATCACACAGAAACCTAAAGCAACGGACGCTTCTAACCAACCACTCGATCGAAACAGAAAAGTGGGCCAGGATCGGTCGATCGTTCATTGGCAGCGTAGAGCAAGGAAGAGCAGTTCTCCCAGCTTGAAAGCTGGATCAGAATGTGAAGCAGAACAAGAAGAAGAGGAAGCTCAGAGTGAATCGAAGGGGAAAGCAAACGAAGGTGTCGGTAGACATTCAACAGGTTCATCACGCACCGAGGGATATTATCACATCTCCTCTTCCCAAAAGGCGATCTATCTGCCCCAAAGAAACAAGGCTATCATCGATCTCGGATCCCTCGCCCCCGCAACGGCCACGACGGCCACGACGACGACGGTCAGCAATCCCACCCAATTCTCAGCCCTTGCCCTGTCCAGGTCCACCCGTGTCAATTCGCGAAGATTCATCCTCAACATGGAACAGAATAAGAAAGCTAGCATCCTCTCTTCCGGAAACAATCCCGCCAACGACTCACTCGACTCGTCTCTTCAACTCCAAGCCAATCCTAATCCTGCTCCCTCACTCGACTCGGTTGCCGATGTGCTCAAATTCAATCAGCTGAGGACTAGGAAAAAACAGTTGAAGTTCTCGAGATCACCTATCCATGATGTAAGCAACTTCTTCTCCTTTCTATCCGACTTGAATGTTGGCTATTTCTTCAGAGTTAGACCCTTAACGCTTTCTGGTGTTTGTATGCTGCATCAAAAAAAAAACTGGAAATGGATGATGATTCAAGTGGGGATTATATGCAATGGAGACTATCCCAGCAGGAGAGATGGTGATCGAGTATGTGGGAGAAGTGATCAGACAGGCGGTTGCTGATCGACGGGAGAAGCTATACGAGCGGATGGGGATCGGATCGAGTTATCTGTTTAGAGTCGACGACGACTTGGTTGTTGATGCCACCAAGAAAGGAAACCTGGGGTATCTATCTTCATCTTACCAACTCTCTCTTACTTTTTTTCTTCTTGTGCTTATCACTTTACTCATTAAATCTTTTCTTTTCTTTCTGAAGGAGGTTGATCAATCATTGTTGTAGTCCTAACTGCACCGCTAAAATCATCACGATCAATGGAGAGAAGAAAATTGTGATCTATGCCAAAGTGACCAGTCAGTCTTGTTCTTTCTTTTTAAAAACACAAATTAACTTTCAATCTCAAATACGTTTTTTTTTTTTTTGAAAAATTCTACCTCATTCAGTCGAACTGGGTGATGAAGTGACATACGACTATCACTTCCCAAAGGAAGAGGTCAAGATCCCATGTCTGTGTGGCTCAGTAAAATGCAAAGGAACTCTGTCAGTCCAACCAACGTTCCTCTCTTTTTTCTTCTTCTTCATTGCTTTCTATTTTTTTTTTTTTTTGACTGAGAATTCAAGGTTTTTCCTTTTTGTAGGAATTGAGCATACCGATCTGGGATCCTACTTGCAGACTGCTCTCACTTCTCCTTGCCCCATCCCCCCTGTCTGACCTGGTGCACTAGCTTATTGGTCCCATTTCTTATTTGTTCCAATATATACATATATATATTTATACCGTATCTTATTTGTTGGGCTAGTTTCACTTAATTTGCTCAAAACTTCTCACTTGAAATAGCCTCTTCTTCCTAAATCAAACAAAACAGAATAGTATAGTATGGCGTTTATACATTTATGGCATCACTCTCATTCATCTTTTGGTTTTTGTTTGTTTGTTTCCATTTAGTTGGGTTGTTTCCATTTAGTTTTTGATGAGCGTTTCTTTAATCATAACTTGTGTTTCTAATTTGCTTTTTTTTTGGGGGGGGGGGGTGATGGCGGGGATGGGCAGGTCAGAGAGAGGTCTTTGGGTTTGTTAATTACCAGGATTTGTATTGCTTTTTTTATATAAAAAAAATTCTTTTATACATTATATAAATATAAATAAATAGATCATCATACTTATTTAAATAAATACATAATTGAAGATGACAGATGAGTCAATTCAAATAGATTTATTTCAGAGATTGAGAGAAGTTTGGGTCCAACATCAATTTTCAGCAAAGTTCTGAAGAGTACCCAAAAGATGTGAAAAGAGATTGGAAGTGGTGACTTGCTCAGCTGCCATGAGGTTTGGAGAACCGTGATTGGCGCGGGCCACATTGCAAAAACTATTGGGCAGTTAATAAGACTCCCAGACTTAGCACATGATATGCTGCAATGGACCAAGCAGCACAGGTATAGCTGGACTCTAGTATAACATCTTACAAGTCTTTGGCTCCCGTCCTAGACATCATAGACCTATTTCCCTACGAGTTCCATCATCAGAAGGAGACGGGTGCACAGATCTGTTACCATTTTTTTCAGGCGAAAAATTGCTTCTTTGGTAAGTGCCTCCGGTGGAGACGCGAGTTGGTTCGCTGCTTGAGTGCTACTCGCCTTCCCTCATGAACGACTCTCACTTAATAGGAGCCTCGGAAGCCATGAATTCGAAATTGACATGTTTCAAGAATTTTTTGGATTCCTATCCCATGGCAGACCTTGTCTCCTTACACGTTCCATTATCACATGTGAGACGGGTGCATGGCTCTCTCTGCACGTGAGCTGTAACGTTTCAGATTCTGACTCTCAAATTTCGGTTTAGTTATCGATTTCAATGGTAAGTTATTGGGATCTTTAGTTATCTATTCTTTAGTTTAGTTGTTATCAGAATCTTTAATTGGTGATAATTAAAACTTGTGGTATTATATTGTTCTTGTCGAGATTTTACTCAGTTTGTTTTCGAATTCCTTTCTTATATAGTCTTGATGGTTTTGTTAGACTTCTCCCTTTCTTCTCCTTTTTCTTCATCGCGATATTCTTGTTCTTTATCATCATCATCTTTAAAGCCTTATAAATAAAATCTCATTTCGAAAAGTCTTCCCCTTCAAGAGTTTATCTTATTCTAAGATAAACTACCCCCTACCTCTTGTAATATAGACGGTATCTTCTCTTGAAGATACTTATAGTCATTCAAGAAAGAAGAGTAGTAGGCGGGCTCTCACAATTATATCGCGATCTTTTTCTTTTAGATCACTCCGATTTATTAGAATTCAAAATTTTTTTTTGCTTTGATTCTCGCTTTCGCTTCCTCGAACGATTGGTTTTTCACCCCTTCAGATTTTTTCCACACTTCATGTCTGATCAATCTTCGCCTGTCGCTCCCATCAGGATGTCTTTTCCATCTTCACCTACCCCAAATTCCTTTAATCGTCAATCGGAATTCCCACTCATCTCGCCTTTCAATAGTCCTCTGCCCAATGTCTTTGTTGGCGATCGTTCTCGCCGTTCTCTTCCTCCTCTCTCTCCGATGCCGGCTGATTTTGAACCTCGTCCTATTCCTTCACCGGACTTCGGCCATTTGCCTTCTTCTCCCATTCGTCTACCTTCTTCTACCCTCCCTTCGCGACGAGATGATCAACAGGGAGTTTCTTCTCTTTTATCCGACCTTCGTGTTGACAACCCAGACCGTGATCAGACGTTGTTAGCGCACGCTCAATCCATTGCTAACTTAGAACTGCAATGTCGCCGCTATGAAGAAGCTCTCCGAAAGAACGAGGAGACCATCTCTCAATTCAGTCAGCTGTTGGTGTTCGCCTCGGATTTCACCAAGTTGAAGACTCATATATCGAAAGAATTTCTCCAGATTCGCAACAATTTCGATACTTCCACCAGTTCCACCAACACTAGGTTGTTTCAATTGGAATCTCGTGATCATGCTACCCCGGTGTCGAAAACTCACTTAGATCCTCCTCATTATTCGCACCTGTCGTTCTCCGGCGAGGTTTCAGAAACTCACCAATTCTGTTACTCGATTCGCGATACTTTTGCCAGGATTCCTCATTATTTTTCCGACGAGCGCGAGAAGATCCTTTGGATCTCTAGTTATTTCAGAACCTCCACTGGTCGTTTGGGTGATCAATGTCCGTCGTACGCCTGGTGGCGAAGTCTTTTGACGCGTAACGCCAGCAAGCAAGACCTCCCTACTAAGTCAGCTTCTGCCATGGCGCCTTTCGTTTTGCCAGAATTATCCCATTCGGATACCTTCATCGCTACCATTGAAGATCACTTCTCTAGTCATACTGAGGAAGAAGATGCGCGCAAGGCCTTCTTTGCCTTGAGACAAGGTACTTCTTCTATTGCGGACTTCAACATTCAATTTAACACACTCCTCTACTCAGTCGATCTTTCGCCTCGTTCCGCGGTTGAACATTATGAGCGGGCTATTAATCAAAAGATTATCGAATTGGGTATTCAGCGTGGAGGATGGTCTGAACTCACCGACCTCGACGACATGCAACGCATGGCCGTCAAATTGTCGTTGGATGTTGGTCGAGTACATCAAATCAATCAGCGTAAATTCACCGTACCTCCTCCTCGGGTCGAATACAAGACTACCGTGAACACTCAACCAGCCGCAAAGGCTAACCAACCTGTCCCGATGGATATCGACGCGGTTCTGGCTTCCGTCGGTTTTACTTGGAGACTTTGGCGGGAGACTTGTGTAGCACGGGAATTGTGCTTTCGTTGTGTTCAACCTTTCGATCGCGAACACATTAAGGCTCGAGGTTGTCCTCGTCCGGAGGACACTTGGATTGAGAAGGAGCAAGCCCTTCCATATTGGAAGGAATGGGGGGGAGTCACTAGAGAGAAGACTTTTGTGGATAAGGGAAAGAAACGAGAATCGGTTGGAGAATCGGATGATCCACACGTTTCAAAAAGACGTTTTCAATCGGCTCCAGCGCCGGTGGCTTCTACGTCGGGTTCGGAGTCAGTTCATTTGGATTCTGTGTCGATGGAACCCATGTCAATTGGCGAGATCATGTTCAATAGACAGAAAATGGAGGAACAGCACCTTCCTTAAGATTTATTTCACAATCAAACCCCGCACGATGAGGAGGCAAAACTGACAAACTCTCAGAAATAAAAACATCAGAGTATTTCTTCAATAAAAATGACCCCGGAGAAGAATCAACAGCAGAATTAGAAAGATTACAACCATTGATAACAATGTCATTGTGAAGTCCACCAATGAAAGTATTAGTGGCTTTCAACCAAGTGCTTCCAAAAATAACACTAGCGGAAGAAAGTCTCGTAACATGCAGTCTCACCGAAGTTTCCAAAAACTTCCCGGTAACTAAAGGAATAAGAAAAATACCATCTATGTATGAAGTGACATCGCCTGTGATTGCCGCCGAACCATCGAAAGACCTAAGGCTTAAAGGAGACTGTAAGGTGTGAGTTCTTAAATCATGTAAAGAAACAAAAGAATCGTCAATAAAAGATGTTGATGCACCAGAGTCCACCAAGACAGAAACATTAAGCAAATCCCCTTTCTTATCAATCAAATGACCTTCAAAGATGGGGCGGTCATGTAAGGAAGAGCGCAAAACACGATTAATAGACTCACATTCATCATATTCCAATTGAGACATCTGTCTATTGAACATGATCTCGCCAATTGACATGGGTTCCATCGACACAGAATCCAAATGAACTGACTCCGAACCCGACGTAGAAGCCACCGGCGCTGGAGCCGATTGAAAACGTCTTTTTGAAACGTGTGGATCATCCGATTCTCCAACCGATTCTCGTTTCTTTCCCTTATCCACAAAAGTCTTCTCTCTAGTGACTCCCCCCCATTCCTTCCAATATGGAAGGGCTTGCTCCTTCTCAATCCAAGTGTCCTCCGGACGAGGACAACCTCGAGCCTTAATGTGTTCGCGATCGAAAGGTTGAACACAACGAAAGCACAATTCCCGTGCTACACAAGTCTCCCGCCAAAGTCTCCAAGTAAAACCGACGGAAGCCAGAACCGCGTCGATATCCATCGGGACAGGTTGGTTAGCCTTTGCGGCTGGTTGAGTGTTCACGGTAGTCTTGTATTCGACCCGAGGAGGAGGTACGGTGAATTTACGCTGATTGATTTGATGTACTCGACCAACATCCAACGACAATTTGACGGCCATGCGTTGCATGTCGTCGAGGTCGGTGAGTTCAGACCATCCTCCACGCTGAATACCCAATTCGATAATCTTTTGATTAATAGCCCGCTCATAATGTTCAACCGCGGAACGAGGCGAAAGATCGACTGAGTAGAGGAGTGTGTTAAATTGAATGTTGAAGTCCGCAATAGAAGAAGTACCTTGTCTCAAGGCAAAGAAGGCCTTGCGCGCATCTTCTTCCTCAGTATGACTAGAGAAGTGATCTTCAATGGTAGCGATGAAGGTATCCGAATGGGATAATTCTGGCAAAACGAAAGGCGCCATGGCAGAAGCTGACTTAGTAGGGAGGTCTTGCTTGCTGGCGTTACGCGTCAAAAGACTTCGCCACCAGGCGTACGACGGACATTGATCACCCAAACGACCAGTGGAGGTTCTGAAATAACTAGAGATCCAAAGGATCTTCTCGCGCTCGTCGGAAAAATAATGAGGAATCCTGGCAAAAGTATCGCGAATCGAGTAACAGAATTGGTGAGTTTCTGAAACCTCGCCGGAGAACGACAGGTGCGAATAATGAGGAGGATCTAAGTGAGTTTTCGACACCGGGGTAGCATGATCACGAGATTCCAATTGAAACAACCTAGTGTTGGTGGAACTGGTGGAAGTATCGAAATTGTTGCGAATCTGGAGAAATTCTTTCGATATATGAGTCTTCAACTTGGTGAAATCCGAGGCGAACACCAACAGCTGACTGAATTGAGAGATGGTCTCCTCGTTCTTTCGGAGAGCTTCTTCATAGCGGCGACATTGCAGTTCTAAGTTAGCAATGGATTGAGCGTGCGCTAACAACGTCTGATCACGGTCTGGGTTGTCAACACGAAGGTCGGATAAAAGAGAAGAAACTCCCTGTTGATCATCTCGTCGCGAAGGGAGGGTAGAAGAAGGTAGACGAATGGGAGAAGAAGGCAAATGGCCGAAGTCCGGTGAAGGAATAGGACGAGGTTCAAAATCAGCCGGCATCGGAGAGAGAGGAGGAAGAGAACGGCGAGAACGATCGCCAACAAAGACATTGGGCAGAGGACTATTGAAAGGCGAGATGAGTGGGAATTCCGATTGACGATTAAAGGAATTTGGGGTAGGTGAAGATGGAAAAGACATCCTGATGGGAGCGACAGGCGAAGATTGATCAGACATGAAGTGTGGAAAAAATCTGAAGGGGTGAAAAACCAATCGTTCGAGGAAGCGAAAGCGAGAATCAAAGCAAAAAAAAATTTTGAATTCTAATAAATCGGAGTGATCTAAAAGAAAAAGATCGCGATATAATTGTGAGAGCCCGCCTACTACTCTTCTTTCTTGAATGACTATAAGTATCTTCAAGAGAAGATACCGTCTATATTACAAGAGGTAGGGGGTAGTTTATCTTAGAATAAGATAAACTCTTGAAGGGGAAGACTTTTCGAAATGAGATTTTATTTATAAGGCTTTAAAGATGATGATGATAAAGAACAAGAATATCGCGATGAAGAAAAAGGAGAAGAAAGGGAGAAGTCTAACAAAACCATCAAGACTATATAAGAAAGGAATTCGAAAACAAACTGAGTAAAATCTCGACAAGAACAATATAATACCACAAGTTTTAATTATCACCAATTAAAGATTCTGATAACAACTAAACTAAAGAATAGATAACTAAAGATCCCAATAACTTACCATTGAAATCGATAACTAAACCGAAATTTGAGAGTCAGAATCTGAAACGTTACAAACGATATTCTTGTTCTTTATCATCATCATCTTTAAAGCCTTATAAATAAAATCTCATTTCGAAAAGTCTTCCCCTTCAAGAGTTTATCTTATTCTAAGATAAACTACCCCCTACCTCTTGTAATATAGACGGTATCTTCTCTTGAAGATACTTATAGTCATTCAAGAAAGAAGAGTAGTAGGCGGGCTCTCACATGAGCCCTCCCCATTCTTCTGGCTATCTACGCAAGCTGCGACGGATTCGCACTTCCCCCACTGACTTAATTCCCCCTTCCACATCTCGCTACTTCGAGATGAACCGGTTGTTTGCATGTGCTCTTGCCGTTTGCTTACTCCCAGGGATCCATGGCACGCTCGTAAACCCCAAATCCAGCTTAACCCACGATATCTGCCAGGTATGTAGTTCAGGAACTCACACCGCATTTCCCGACGCAGTCCCATTGGTAAAGCCGGCTGGAGAGAACACGTGTCGAGGAAGCGCTGAAGAAGCTAGCAAACCTAGACAGGTGGGGAAGAAATCAAGCCATGCCGACTTCGTGTTAGCGGACACCGGGAATTTGCGCGATCCACCTGTGGACAACCCGAGACGTGAGTAGTGTATGTCGCACTTCGAATAACTCTTTTTTAGTAAATCCTAGTGAATTTAGATACATTGGCCGATTAGTGACTGATCTCCGCTTGCTCGACCGGCGCGTCGCGTGGCCTTTGTGGACGGTTTCCGACTGGTTAATCGACAGCAGCTAAGAAGCAAACACAAACCCTGATCAACTCAAACTACGAAGATACCAACCAACGCCAACTTTGGCTAGCACAGAAAGTAGATCTTAATCAGCTCCCATCATCCAGCAATACGGAACTTTATGCTTCCGGACTGGAGGATATGAGAGAAAGAGTCCCTCCAGAATTGCTTCCACTGCCAAACCTCATCTTTCAGGTAGTGATCAATCCTGATGTGCTAGCACCGTATAATTTTCGCATTAAGGCCTCTCTCGATCTAATTAGCGAGAAATACAATTTCCGAAGTTACACTCGGCAGCCAGAGGAAAAGATACCAGACTTGCCAGTCTACATGGTCAGCCGTCTGGCTCCTCAAGATCACAAACAAGTCGTTGTCCCTCGAATAGTCGATACAAAAAACAAACTCTGTTCACCTTATGCAATAACGGGTGTCTTGAGCACTTTAATCAAATGTGTTATGTTTTCTCAAAGGGCTTTGTTGAACAGGATGAATACAACACCAGAAGAAGCTGTCAGGCAGCGGATTTCATTGATGGACTGGCTACTGGAACGATTTTTTTCATCGGATGGACAAATTCCGATTTTTGGAGAGATCCAAGCAGCTGAATATTACCGCCGCAAACTAAAATTCAAGCCCATTCAGAGACATCTCATCAACCATTTACACAGCCACACGGATCCACGAAGCGACTACACCTCGGAATTCACTTCGCATGTGGTGATCGGGATATGGTACTTACAGCAACACCCAACGAAATGGACTGAACATTTCGATAATAAGGAAATGAATTTTTGGGCTGCAATGAAAGAGTCTCTCGCTGTGATCAACGACGTTAAGAGTAAATCCGTGCTTCGGACCGAACCATGGGGGTCCCAAGATCACAGAGACTGGGGAAATTTCAAAATAGCTGATCTGGAAGAAGTGCTGAGTCCATTGACCTCGAAAAGATCGTGGGTTAAAGCGAGGTTCCCTCAATTCAAGCAGCCAGCTGAAGAACTATCATTCTTAGAGCAGGAAATACTTTATCGAAGGCATACGGTCTACAGCGATGCATTACCGGTGAATTGCAGGAAGCGTATGTTGTCCATAAAAACAATACCGCATTTTACGGGACTCCAGTGCAATAAAAGAGTACAAAAGGTTCAACAGGGTAGAAGGGAAATCATTACAATAGAGGACATTTTCCTAATTAGGTTGTTGGGATCGACTGTCAAAGAGAACCCCGGTCAAGACGTGGACAAAAGACTTAAAATACTAATGAGCGTGCTCAGAGGGTTTTACGACACATTGAACCTACATTTAAAAAAGTTGGGCATCCCATTTCTTCCTAACTCAAACCCAAGCTATCTGGAATGGCTATCTGGAGTGTTGTTCGACAAGGAGCACAGCTTCCCTATCCTTGGTTGGATCCCACAAGGACTGGTTTCATCTTACACCGTCGAATTCACGCCGATTCAACAACAAATCATACTTTCTTTAACTTCCCGTCGGACAAACACTCACCTATTCACTGATACGGCCGGCTTCCTCGGCTACTGGTGCAAGAACTATCAACCGGAATACTGGCACACCTATTTTAAGGACGAAAGCGGGTTTGGAAAACTGCTACTCAATGCGATAATTATGGCCACTAGTGGCCAAAGATGATGACCGCTTCATCTTGCGATTCTTCGTTTGGGATGATTGAACCCCGAGCCTGTTAATGATAATCATTCATAGCACCTCGACATGGGACCAGCGAAGCGGCCACAGGACCTAAGAAATACCGCCCCCAGAACTTTCGAGTAATATCAGCTCCTCTCATATGTACATAACCTGCACAATTCTTCAACTGCTCGCTCGCCGCGCCTTCTTCCTCTCTCTTCGATAAAGTACTTTCAACATTATTTTGCTTAGCCAACTAGATAGTAATTTTCCTTCTTCTTTCTAATGTCTTATTGTTCCGTTTCTCAACTCATTTATCTTAATCATACACATGGTTCCAGATACTCATATTATCTCGCTGCATGCGGGCAAGATTGATCACTAATATATTTGTTTTAGTGGACTGAGTTGTTCTAGTCACCTGAGATGTTCAAAGAAAAACAAGACAGCATTGCTTTTTTCTGAGCAGATCGGACCAAAATTGCGCAATGCTCAGACAACAAAAGGAGTAGATAAGTTATCATAAATTACCTACTAGACTTACTGACCGTGTCTCAATTATACTAAAAGAATGATGGGGTCTTGTTGCCCAGCAAACGTGATCCTGATACATCAACATTTGCCGAGCGGACCTGATTTTTTGCTCTTACATCAGACAATAGTAAATCTGGCCCATTCTATCAGTTTATTGTTTGACTGTCGGTCACATCTTCATCCTAGGACGCTAATTTTCCGCCTATTATCCTTTTCCCTCTTAAACTGTTTTGGTGAGTAGATAACCGAGGTATCATCTATCATTGAGATCAATTTTAATTTTTTTTCTTTGGGATGCGTCACTGGAATGGCTATTCTGTAGGTTGGGCGAAAGGTAAATAAGTAAACTTGACCACTTGATCCCCTCAGCTGAAACATTCAAACCTCTCTCAGTCTAGAGTTTCTACCACGCCTTATTTGAGCTCTTGAGTCTCCTTATCCAATGTGTATCTGTATCCGACTGGATTTCTTGTATCCAATTTTGAGAAGAAGGGTTTTGAATAGCTTTACAATCCCTGCAGCTGGCTAGGATGGCTGAAAAGGGTCCTCCTCCAAGCCCTATAGGCAATGGATGGTGAAAACCCCTATGGACTTTTGATGAGAGAGTCTGAGTTGTGCCACTGGAGTTTAAGCCTCACTGAGAGAGGAAACGGAGGAGGTGAATTGCACCCCATTCCACAAAGAAGCTTAGCTCTAGATAACTGTCCTTGAACATATATTTCAGGAAATTTTGAAGATGTATTGAATTTAAGTTGATGGGGGCCAGTAATATATTCATGGCTCTGGCTCCACTTGACCATCCTGACCCAACACAACAATCCGAAAAACATTCTTGCACTTCCCATTTGTCTCCCTCTGATAATGTGCATCTTCCGAGTAACACTTGTTTTATTGGCCATAAGCCTCAATTGGCTTGTAACTGCTTATCGCTGTGGCGATGCCTCACCTCAAAATGTTTGCTGGGTGCCTTTTGGAAAATCAGAATATTTTAGTGAGTGAAATTTCTTTTCCTGATTGTTTTTTCTTCTTTTTTTTTAAAAAACCTAACAAGGATGTGATGTGATTTAGTCCAAGCAGACTTGATCCCAGTTCAAATGGACAACTACTTATACCCTGGAGCAGAGAAAACTGCAGGATTAATATCAGCAAAGCAGATGCAAAACCCCATGGTGGCTGTCCTATGGGCAAAATAACAGCAAGTATTTTTTTTTGTTTTTGATTGATTGAGCAAGTCTGCAACTGTAACCTCATGGATCAATATGTCTTTTTGCATAAATCACTTATTGGATTACAGATCCTGGAAAACTCATTATGGTGGTCTGTTATGAGGAGCTCAATTGCCACCATCCCTTATTATGGTGGGTGTAAGGCAATGGTCTTAAGAATGGCCAGTTATCATTCTGACTTAATTATTAGTGGGGTTCATGATTAAAATTTATTCAATTTTAAAGCTCATTTTAAGGTGTTTAATATCAATAATAATTTTTAAATTTGAAAAGTTGTGTGGATTGTTCAGAAACCCCCGAACCCATCTAACTCATCAAATTTTTGAAATTTGGTTGATAAAGGCCTTAAAATTTGCTTGGAAATTTTAATCATGAACCCCACTATCAGGATTTTGAACCCAGCAATTTTTTCTAATCCATCAATTGTCACTGCTGGACCCAAGTTTACTCCATGTTTTTGGGTTGACAGCTGAACTAGTCATTCCTTGGCATATATAACCAATGTTTTTTTCTGTGAATAGTCCACATTAAAATTTTCTTCTCTTTTGATCTAAATCTCTAGCAAAATGACTGAAGAATTAGGCCCTGATTATAAACAATATTTTGAAATATATTTGAAAGTTTTCCAAAAGTATTCAAACTTCTTTTTCATTTCTTTTTCATTTCTTTTTCATTTCTTTTTCATTTCTTTTTTATTTCAAAAGCTGACTCAAAAACTTCATTTTTGCAAACAATACAGAAGTTGGGTTGGTATTGGGTTGCATGGTATCAAGTGTTGTCTTAGCTATGGCCAAGGCTTGTAGTACATGAGGTCCTATTGACCATACATCTTGACCATTACCAAAGCGTGTAATAGAATCATTACCCACTTCATAGAAACAAACTACCAGATTGCTTCTCATTCACACGAGAAGTGATCCTCATTGAAAGTGACTGTTTTGATGCATCAAAACGGTGAAGTCTGACAAATCACACAAGGAACAGTTCACACTGTTACTGTTTCTTGTAATTGCGCCCAGAGGTAATACAGACCCCCTAGACTGAGGGGTTTATAAGTGCAGAAATTATGTGAGTAGGTTTTGGAAAGTGTTTGAACTTCTTTTTGATTTCTTTTTTGTTTTCAAATACTTTTCAAATAAAAAGAGCCAAAATCCAAAAACTTGGTTTATAATCAGGGCCTTACTCAAATTCCTCATTCCATACCAAACAACTTATGTAAGAAAACAGGTATTTATGTAAATATTCCCATGAACAATAGATATGTATTGAAACCATCAGATGGACAAGGTTCACATTGGTGAAAAAATCTGCAAAGTTATTTTACATTCAAACATAAATCATGTGATCTTTGAGTTACTGGCCAAGAATTTGGCAGTTCTAGGGTTAATAATGCTTTAGCCCTCAGGGTAGGTCACAAGATGCTCTATTTTTCATCTCATCTAGTATTGATGAATTTTTACATTCCTCTACTGTTTCCTAATACTGTGTCCAATTATAACCTAATTACATACCACCACTTGGTTTACAGAGTGATTCAATGGAAAAAAATCAGCCTCTTTTTTCCCTTTCTCACCAATATCCCTTTTCAGTTTTTCTCTATTCTGATGCATAATACATATATCAACGTTGGGCAAAACCACAATTCTATTTACACTTTGAATTATTTCATCTCACTTCATTCCTTGTCCTATTTTTCTTTTTCTTTTTTCCGGCACAAATATCATAACTTTTATACAACTAGTCATCTTCCATGTTGTTGAGTCAGACATCTGCAGGAATTCTTCCAAATCCTTATGGTTGGGTGATGACATGTGTAAAGCTTTGAAATTTAGACATGAAATCTGCTGGTGCTAAGAGATCCTCCAGGTACATATGGTGTATCAAGCCATGCTGGGCACAATCCCAAGTCCCGCTTGGCCGAGTACCACGGGGGCTTGGGAATGTGCCCAGGGGGCTTGATTGGGCAACTTGCGCGGGGCTCGGATCTTGGCACACAGCCAAGTCCCGCTTGGCCGACCCCAAGCGCTGGGCCAATGGGATCATTGACATCCCTCAAAGGGTAAGTCGTTTTCTTTCTTTCTCTCTCTCTCTCGCTCCCTCTCCCGATCAGCAACGCTTCACCATCAAGGAGCGCTCAACAAAAGCCAGATCCTTGGACTCTCAGGGAGCTTCAAGTTGGTTAACGGTAAACAAAAGCTAGTCAGGCAAGGCTTTGTACGCTGAGTCCATGATGTAAGTTATCTTGCTCGAAAACAGCAACTCAAATGGTTTGGGTGGTGGGTGGTTTTGGCTCGGGTGGCACCCTCACTTGGGCTCGGCCAAGCGAGGCTTTGTCCCGACCCCCACCAACTTTGGCATCAGCCAAGCGGGGGCTGGGAGAGTGCCAAGGTGGCTTTAGGTTGTGCCACGCGCGCTTGGGGATCGGCCAAGCACGCTTGGCTTGTTTTTTGCCCAACTTGGGCATGTGCCCAGCGGAACTTGATACACCATGTGTACCTCAAAGGAAGGCATATGCTCTCAGTAGAGGACTTCCTTGGTGCTACAGGCAGACCGATGTGTCTGTGTCTGATAGGAAACAATGGCACGTTTTCAAAAAAGACATGTGCAGAAAGATGAACAAGAGAACGCAAATCACTCAGACGGTTTTCTTTTTTGTTTGGGTGCAGTGCGATGCTGCTTTTGGTGAGACTGTCTGCGGTGTTTGGAAATTGGATCAACTTTGCCCGGGCCGTGGTTCTCCCGCTCCGACCCGATGTGTCCGTGAAGATGTTAATAGTCCGGATCAGCTTCGGGTTTATGTCTCAAGCCAACAGAGTTCCGTCTGAGTCTGACTCCACTCCTGCGCACTCTTGACAAGGTCATCATCACCAAGGTCAGTATCACTCACTCCACATCTCATCACGTCACTTCGAGGAAATCTGATACGAGTTCTATTCATAACCACAGGATGAAACCAACAAAACCATCAATCAACATGATCACCCTTACTTGCCGGCTCAGAGCCACTTCTCAATCGATCTCACGCTACCAAGGCCAAGCAAAAACATTCGGGAGCTTGATCAGCTCGCAAGTAGCTGCTAGTCCAGCCGGGACGAGCGGGAAGAAGCCATCATCAGCCGAGACGGGGGCCTTCAAAGGTTTCAAGCTACCCGACCAGACCTACAAGGTGACCCTGATACCAGGGGATGGGATCAGCCCAGAGATCTCAGAGTCGGTCAAGGCGATCTACTCGGCGGCCAAGGTACCGATCACATGGGAGGAACGTGTCGTAAACCCGGTGAACGTCGATGGCCGGTCGACGATCTCGCAGGATGTGATCGGCTCGATTCACCAGACTACCGTCGCTCTCAAAGGTCCTCTCGCCACCCCCATCGGAAAGGGCAATGTCTCATTCAATCCCACCCCCCGTCGGACCTTAAAACCATTCGCTAACGTCAGACCTTGTCGGTCGATCGACGGCTTCAAAAACCCTTACGACAACCTCAATAGCGTCCTGATTCGCGAAAACACCGAAGGTGAATGCTCAGGTATCGAGCACGAGAATGTAGCTTTTGTAAGAATCCAGCCCTTCTTGGAAGATCCAATCCATACCATCCTGATCTCTGATTGCCTTCATTTCAATCAATCTCCAATCTAGTCTACCAATCGACCTACCAATGCTACTGCTCTAGAGCCACTTGGCCACCATTCATTGAAGCCGAAGACGACATTCCTAGCTGGCAGTTTCCAATCAATCTTTGGACTTACGAGGTCGGTAAACCATTCCCTTGGGGGACTGTCCCATATTCCTGACATAGGATGTAAGCACCAGTTAATCTTGGAAGAACAGAAAAGAGCAACCGGTTGACAATCTTAGGCTTTTCTTTTTTCACTAAATTTCCAAAACCTAGTTGGGCTGCAGATCAGGACAGCCACAAAAAGAGCTGGAGGATCAACAAAGAACAACCGTGGTTCGGCTGGTCGACGATTGGGAGTGAAAAGATTTGGAGGTCTGTCAAGTTTCTTGCTCAGCTGTAGGAACAATTTTCACCAGTTGGCTGATTGTCCATGGGCTTCACCTTCCCTCAGGTCAAAAGGTCGAACAAGGAGAAATTATCATTCGCCAACGTGGACAAAGATTTCATCCGGGTCAAGATGTCTATATCAGTAAAGACCACACCATTCATGCAGCAATCCCTGGCTATGTGAAGTTCTATCAAGACCCGCGTGGAGATCATGTTGGGTATAGAGCTTTGAGTCTGAGGCGCCAAGGAATGAGGAAGTTTGTAGGAGTGGTTGCGGATCCCGATGAGTAAGTAATTTGAGAAATCAAGACTGAGAATACCACTCTGAAGTTCTGATTCCAAGGACTGGTTTATCCTCTATTAACTGATGTGTCTTTCCTTCACACTGTCACAGACAACTACCCAGAAACTTACCCGAAGAAGGACGGGCACGATACTTTAACTTGATTGATTTGGCTGCCAGAGAGCGAAACCTCGCCGCAAAGCCGCCTACCCCTCGAATCCCTCAAACAGCATTTGCTCGCCCGGTGTCAATTGATTCGTTTTCTCCAGATAAGCACTCTTCATCCCGCAATAAATCGGAGGGCTCCTACGATACATAACACAAGGAACAAGATGTATACATGTGGGCAGATCAATACAAGTTGACTCAATAAGCTATGTAGTTATAAGTTCTAAAATCTATCTCGATTTGGATTGAGCAAACTCAAACCTAATTCACCCGGTGTGATCTGAGTTCAGAGACCAGTGACACTTTTTCACAGTCTAGATCCATAGTCCAGACATAAATTTACCTAATAATTAATCAAAAAAGAGAATACCCAATAAAATTGAGGATTCCAAAACCCTATGCCCCAGCGGTAAATTTTCTGAGAGTGTTGGAGGGTAAGTAATACTGCAGATAATGACATCCTTCCAACACAGTGGCTAAAGTGGTATTGGTATCTCTGATGCTGATGAGAGTGAAAAGCCACTGATGTACTGTACCAACCGCTCTTCATATGGCATTGTTTTCATGGACCCCAACTTAATGAGATGAAGGGACTTTGTTCACTGTTAACATTATCAATACTAGGTACCTGCCTTGAATTCCACTCCACTTGGACACCCTCACCTCCTGGGGGCCAACAACAGATGCAATGTCAAACTGGCCCTGCCATCCCCACCATAATTGCTTGGTTGAAGTTGGTGTGTTTCTTCAACATAGGCATTATGTGGGTGCCCACAGTCAAGATGGCACCTGAAGCAGGCATTACATCAAAGCCATGTTTGGCTACAATGTAGTCTTATAACTTGGGACAACAAGCCAGGCACCTTTGACAAATAAGCACCATCAGTGAGGCTTTAACCACTTCCATTCATCACCTAGCCCATGGACAAACCAGGCACCTTTGACAAAAAAGCACTGCTGGTGAGGCTTGTGCCTCTTGCATTCACACAGCCCGCAAACAGGTGACAAAATTTCAACTTTGTTGCAGTGATGTTTTTTCTGTATGTGACTGCATCAGTAGCCGCAGTCACTGTGGGTGATTTTGCACAAAAATGACACTGTGACAAAATCTGAGTTTTGTCACCTGTTTGTGGGCTGTGTCATCACCTGACCCATCATCACATTGCCACACACAAGATGATTGGATGCTTGAGTCTCCTGGTGAGTGCACACCACTCAACCAGATTCAACTCCTAGGATGTGATACTTCTTGATGAAGACCCATCCAATCCCAACCTTGCCTTGAGAAAGTTTTTTGATTTATTGTTTGCTTAGTTCATTTTTTTGTTGTTATGATCTGTTATCCTGTCTATCCTCCTCCTTACATGGAAATTTGACTCATTGTTCAGCTCAACAAGGGCCCAACATGTTGACACTGTTGGCCAGGCAATCAGGGAACTTTTTTAACATTTAGCAACATGTCACAAACACAGCAAAATACCTTAGAGAAACTCCACTGTGGGTGGGAAATTGGGGTTGTAAGCCCCATTTACCAACCCAATGTTAAAATTTTTATAATTTAAAACCAAATTCTCATTATGAATATGCAGTAAAAGTTTTAATGTTCACTTTCATCTCAAAATGAAAGTCAGATCTCACTGATTGAAATCTAACCAATACATTTCTCCCCTGCCTATAAAATCTCTCAACACAACCAATCTGAATGGTCTTTTGTACATGCAATTATACTCATTATCAAGTGTAGAAAAGATATGTAAACACAAAATAACCGTCCTTCCTCCCTTGTCATGTCACCAACATCAATCCTCAACCAAAACTAATCCAAACTCATTTTTCCTTACTTTCTTTTTCTCTATCTTTTCTTTTTCAGATCAAAATTGTCTTTCATTGATAAAAATCATTCATATCACAAACAAACCTGTATCTGTGCAGGTATACCTAAAACATTCTTATTTCAATTTCTTTCTCTTAAGTTTCATAAAAGTCAAACTCATCATGTTTCTACTGTTTCATTTATCTCATTTACCCTATTCTATTTTTTGTTTCAAGGTGTGTGATGAGTCAAAAATTCTTTGTTGGTGTTGTTTTTAAACTCAGAATATCCTTTGTTGTCACTTAATTAGGTTCACATCTTATCATTATCATTTATACTTCTTTTGATTCTCATTTTATCTATGATTTGAATTCATCTATACACAATTATATTTTTTATTATCAAGTGGAGAAAAGACCAAGATTTTCTTGTGCATCTTCTCCAATCATCCATAAAAATCATTAATATCAAAAGCAAAACTGTTTCTGTGGAGGGGCATGCTGAGTCAAAAAGTCTTTGTTGTTGTTTTTAAACAAGATATTCTTTGTTGTCACTTAAGATCAAATCCCCATTGAATTCTACCAAAATTTATGCCCCAAGGTTGTGGGTGGTATGTGGGGTTGTAATAAACATTTTTGATCCCAAAAATATACCAAGGTTGTAGATCTACCACCTCTGTACCACCCCTTCTACCAAATGCCTGAACCCACCCATCCAACCTATGAGTGTTTCATTTTTCCAGCCTTCACATTCACCAATTATCATATCATAGACTTATCACTCCATGTTATGGAAATTTACCCTCCAATTTATTCCCTCCCAGTGTTGTGCAGCTCTCATGTCAGGTGCTCAATCTACACAACCATTCCTACAACCCAGCACATACCACCTGCAGTTGACTTGCTCTCACATGTCACAGATTTGTCACAGCATGCTAAAAAAAATTTCACAAAACATTATAAATATCTAACAACATGATACTCATATTATTTCACATATCACCAACATTTCACAACATTTTTCAACATGTCACAGAAAGGATCTCACAAATCAACAACATTTCACAGCAGTAAAAAATAAGAATTTCCTCAGCTAAAATGCAGGATTTCTGTTTTTGACAAAATTGAACATGTTTTTGGTCTAGCAGGGTTCATCATTGGAATTTATCCTAAACCCATTAATCCCAAACCAGAAGCCACATGGTCTTCTGAAAAGCTTAGAATTTGTTCAAAAAACACTTGTTACAAGCAAAATCTGACATCCAAGCTGAATACAAACAAGAGTTTTTCTAGCAAACCAAGAGTCCCAAAGCTCAATCATGAACCCTGCTAGTGTGTAGTACCTGGGAATAAATCATGGTTAAGACTGAAACTTTGTGAGGATTACAGCCCCTGGGTCATCTTATGGAGCCTCAAACCACTTGAAGTGGCTTGCCACCCTGCCCAAGAAGGGAGGTATTTACTTATGTTAAGTGGGAGTGCAACAACTGACAATTATAAAAATCATTAATTCCTTCCACTCCTGAATTGCAGAAATGTCTGACAGAACACTACAAAAAATATCTATTCTTCCCCAAGCATAAATAGCAATTTGGGTGGGGGAAAATGGGTCAATTTCCTGGCACTTTCTTTACAAAATGTCTCAGGAGTAGGAATTAGGCTAAAATGAGATATTTTAGTGCAAAAGTAAAATGTCCCAAACATTTCAAAATCAATTTTTGTCACATTTGCCTGGATCAGTAGGATCATGCATCTCTTCAATCTGGATTCTGGACCAAACATCCTCAATGTTTTGAGGGAATGATGTGATTCCACTATGAATGTTGCTCCCCCCAAAATACTAGAAACTCACCACAAAAGCATGTCAAAATTAGACGCAAGTCTTCCCTAATGGGGAGTTTCCTTTGGGAACCACCTGGCCAGTGCTATGCTGCCAGATGCGCCCACTGCAGCCAAAACTTTCAAGTTTAGCAGGTTATGCATTGCAGGTTGCAAATTCCCAATTTGATTACAGCGGAGACGTGGCCCCAAAGAAAAAAGGGGTCGTGGAGATGGTGAGACAATCAAGTGCCACATAGCAGATTTTCTCCTGTGAATGTCAACAGATCTTGAAAGGTTTGATGGTTTGATAATGCTAAGAAGGCAGTGTCCCTTATTTTTTTGGCTTAACTTCCTAAATGCTGCATATACTCATTTATCATAATTTATAATTGAAATTCCAGCTACACTCCCAAAACTTAGAAGTCTTGAGTCTTTGTAAAAGTTCACAGGTTCTTTCAAGAGCAAAACAAGTGCAATTGTTTGAATTGAATTTCAAATGGGTTTTTTATGTTCAAAATGAAGAAAAAAAAGGTCAGCTGTTCTGTTCAAGTTCTAAGCAATCCAACATTGCAGCACCCTAAGAATTTAAATTGGATTGCAAAGTATGTACATACCTGGGGTTGCATTTGAGCTGGGCCTAGTGACCTCCAAAGACTCTTGAAAAATCTCCAAGGATTCGTCGAGTCGTTCAACCACATTGCCTACCACTGGCCAACAGGCACCGCCGGGGCAATTGAAATTGTCCCACAGAGGCTGCTGCGTTTTGTCGGTTTCCGAAAGCCATTCAGACATTGTTTCAAGTACCGTTCAAATCTCTTCAGGGTGAGCACCGTCAAAGCCATCCGGCGGTGTCACTTGCCAATATCTGATCCTCTTGGAGTCTTTTTTAAAGAAGTGCCTTTTGAGCGATCGAAGTCTGAAAAACCAACTCTTGATCAATGAGGTGGTTGAAGCTGGGCCAATTGTCGTGACAAACAATATCCCCAAATTATGGAGAAGGCGCCTCGAGCCATCATGGATTCTTTGCCCCCCAATTGTGTCAAGAACAACATTGAAAGATGATTCATGTTGACCATGCAGAAGTCTAAGCACACTCTCGGAAGTGATCACTTCTGTTGCACCCTCTTCTTTTAATTTTTCCACGAGTTCTTCCAATCCAACCAAATCTCCCGTAGCTGTACATGGCACATGCACACTAATCCAAAGGTCTCTGCTGGGTCGAAAGTATCGCATGAGTTGAACAATCATCCTTCCAATGCCTTTATGCCCGTTCAATATTAGCATCTTGAAAAATCAAAACCAACGAACTGAATCAGCCTTGCTTTGTACGTCTAGAATCGGAAATAATAAAAATGAAAGCTAGTTATACCTTGGAGCCTTTATGCATCCCTACACAAACGGTACTCACAATCAAAGCAGCGGGAATGGCCAAAAGTGGTAAGCAAGCAATTTTGATCGAGGTCAGTGGGGCAGGAGCCCAACCGTCTAATTTTGGGTAGCAGCTGTCCATAGTAGCAGTACAGCTTCCACTGTTGGAACTGTTTGAGCACATTTTTCAATAGTTCCCCAGGATCACTGGAGCCCTAGCTAAAAAATCAGATGAAATTTGATTCCGTCCGGATAAGGCACCCGACTATTTGGAAAAATTGGATGGAAAATGCCAAGCCAATTAGCACAATGACTTTTTTTAATGAGCTACAGTAAGTTCTCAGTACAATCACCCATCTTCTTTTTATTTCAATTGTGCAGTTTGGTGCGGAATAACTCATAGCAGCAGATGCTTTGGGTAGAGTTGGGTTGTGACTTGTGAGGTTGATGTCAGAAGATTAATCTTCAACCCAGCCTTTCAAGACGTGCAAAGATGATGCATCGAAAAAAGACGGTTCTAATTTTTCGAGGTATCATCACCTCAACGAGAAGAAGAAAATTAATTTCGAGAGCTCCTGCAATCCATAAACCAATTCTCCCCTTCTGAGTTTTTTACTGCCTTTCCAACCTCAAGAACCTTTCCAAAAAAGCTTCTCCCAAGGACGATATAATTCCTCAAACGTTGTTCATGTTGGAGTCGAGATTGGCTGAGGTTTGGATTGATTGTGGTACGTGAAGAAGCACCCATCAAACAGATCAAGTGCAAATCCCATTGGTCGAGTGCGACTGCAAGAATCTCTACTAGTACTTCACGAGAAGAAATATTGTTGAATTCATTTGGGCTACTGTTTGCGAGAGAGAGTTGGTTTGGAGAATATTTAATGCAATTGATTGGGTTTTGAAGCTGGGTCATATCTCCCATGAATCTGATCAAGTTTCCTTCAAGCTGACTTAAAAGATGTCTTCCGGAGCTGAGATTGTGATTGGATAGCTGGGACAACTGGGACTTGTTCTGCGGGAAGAAAAAAAAAAGACAATCAATTTGTTTATGGAAAGTTTTTTGGATGGGCCAAATGATTTTGAAAAAAAAAACGCAAGTCTTATTGGAGTTGGATTACACATCAGGGTGGGGGAGATGGGTGTTGGACAATTGGGAGATTACCCTGGCTATTTGACTCAACACAGATCTCCAAACTTGAATGAAAGGTTTGAAAACAAGCATCAGTACCTGGAAAGAGGATTCTATACAAAACTAACTGGCTAAAAGTGCTATGATTGTTCATGAGGTAAACCAACAGCCAAAATTTACAGCCTTCCAGGAGATGCCAGGCGCGTAAAGGGGGGGGGACATACCATAATCGGGTCTTGTTTATATGATGTTTGCAGGTGGACAAGCCCATTTGCCATCCTTGCTCTTGATTCATACACCGTCGAAGCATCTTATCCTTGAACATCTCCCCGAAAGTATGGGCCTTGAAGTGTCCAGTGGCACGAATCCAGGCTTGCAAATCAATCCACACGCAACATATTTGCACATCAATACTCTCAGATAACCTATGTAACTTGATTGAATATTCTACCTATATTGGTTGTTGTGCCCTAACAAACATTTCCGGTGTATTAGGTAAATAAAAAAGATGTGTGCTCTTTGTCTTCGAGGCCGCTTCAAAGATCACCGTGTTGAGTTTTTGAACTCGAGACAGGCTGAAGAGAGGAAATGGCACAAAAAAAGGTGGAGGACTTTTTTGGGAAAGGTTCGCGGTAAAAGAATGAAAGAACCGATAAGTTTTTTATTCACTGTATATAGGCTGACTTAAGTAGACTAAAGTACAAGTGATCAAATTGTGGTTGAGAGAAAAATGAATAAAGAAAGTATTTTGAATAAAAATTGAGAGAAGATAAAACAGGTTCTTAAAAATAACAAACTAGACAAAAACTTCTCATTCTCTTGTAGTTTATGTTAGATGAGTTAGTTAAGAAAAAATGTTTTAAATCACAAATAACAAGAGGTGTTAATTCTTATTAATCAATTTTTAATATCAAACAATAAACTAGAAAAAGAAGGAATTAATACCGTAGAGACAAGAGTGATTGAGTTGAGCTTATTTTCTTAAGGTTCAAATTTGACTCGAAAGAGGACTCAGAAAACAACCAAAAACTAGCTACTTGGAATAATAACTTCAGTCTGATTTAAGGTGATAAGAAAGAGAAAAAAGGTCAGAGTGAGAAAGATAGGGAGAATTTCAACACACCGTGCTATGGCCTCACGCGACAATCAGATCTACCATCCTCAACTTTTATCTACACGTGTGGATAGACTTTTTTTGTAGCTTTCAGTGGTCACGCCGGACTCATGACAGATCAAGTTGCTGAAACCTAATATTTTTTGCGCCACTAGTGATGGTGAATAAGAATAAAGGAACTTAAACAGGACCAGGTACCAATAGAAGACAGTATTGATCATCTGCTCTTGTAAAATTGACGTGAATGGTCCCTTTCTATCGTTTTGCGTCGTCAAAGCAAGTGATTGAAGAAATTCCTTCCGGGGTGTAGACTTGTAATGAAGTGTAAATGAGATTATGACCGTTAGAATTTGAGGCTTGAGATTGCTTGAGGAGGTAGGATTGTGAGAGATGAAGGGTCGTCAACTATCGGCACCGGCTCAAGTTAATGATGATGATTACAGCAACCTCTTCACCCAGGGCTGGTCTTCCTTGGTCCCAGGGATCAGCTCCTGTCGGACTACGTTTGAGCAGAACGCGCCAGTCAAGGCGGCCATCCAAGCTGCCGCCTCTTTGGCTTCTAAGATCCAAGCAATCACTTTTCAATACGGACAATGTGTTTGCAATAATAAAATTCTTGGAGATGAAACAATCGTTCGCACTTGCTTTTCTTTTCTTTTCTTGAAGTGATCCTCTTCCCATATTTATATCAATCCGATTCTTTTATTTATTACCCCTTGGCAAGGACCGAGCTTAACTGTGCCTCACAACAAGAAGCAGAATCAAATAGCAATGTGGATTGCAACAAGCAGCAGGAGCAGCAAACAGTAATGATTTCCACTACAGATGAGACCTATTGATTAATTCCAGCTTGCCATCTGCAACCTTTCAAATTGCGCTGAAAAGCACCTTCTACTGTAGTGCACCTCGGGCCCTCCTCTTTGGTTGCACTGGAAGAGAGGAATGAGTAGAAATTGATCTAACGAGTACCAATGGAGATTAATTCCAAGCGGAGAGGATACAAGATTAAAATTAGATTTAATAGAATCAAATCAAATCAGATTAACATGAGGAATGTTTTAGTTCATCCTTCTATGGATGGATCCCTTGAAAGCAAACACTTTTTTGTTTTCGTGAGTGCCCCACAATGGAGAAGTGGCCAGTGATTCACAAATCAACTCAAGAAACTAAAGAGGAATCCGAAGAGAGTGAACTGATAGCCACAGAAGCGATCTCTATCTCCAGCCAGCCTCGGCCTGACACGCCAGTCATGAATTTCAAGCCAGAACCCCAAGATGGGATTGGTGCAACTTGTTTAACGGTTACGAATAACCAGCTAATTACAAGCAAGAGGCCAATGACAGCTTTCTGGATAACATTCAACTCAGTAGAATCCTCAGCATATTTAGATGGTGGCGCGTAGACTCAGCAGCTGCAGCATGTCCCGTTCACTGGCAGCAAAGGCGGACAAGGGGAGCAGCTGAGGCTCAGCCAACGGAAAGCAGGAAGCAGCAGAAAGGCTCAGCCTCAAGCGGATACAATATAAATGCGCCAGCGTCGTTCACCTATTTGTCGTCCCTCACAAACCATCCAAGTGTGCCGGCAGACTTTCACTCCCTCCCCTCTCCCCACCTTACGCTAGGCTAAAGGTAAGACAGCCTTCTACTTTCTCTTCTCTACTCCACAGCCTACCGCTGTCCTCTTAAGTCAGCCTCTCATCCCCTATATATTTGCACTCATCTCCCAGATCTAAAAAAAGAGGCCTCTAAAGAATTATCACGATGGAAGAATCCCTCCGCGGCATGGCTCAAGTAGTTGGTAAGTTTATCTGGCACGATTTTTTTGTCTTTTTCCAGCTTTTATGCTGACAGCAACCGTTCCCCCATTTTTTTTTGAAGATCTACTTGAAAGGCACGAGTGCGCCTGGGAAGACAAGGAGTACCGCGAGGCTCTTCGCCAAGCCTCAAAGAAACCCTGCTATGTGACCCCCGAGTCGAAAGTCATCACCTTGCGACAAATGGTTGCGCGGGACCTTGGCTTCCAAGTTGCTGTCAACCACCCCAGGCTCTGCCACTTATGTCTCACAGATGACAGTGCTCCCCAGAAGAATCGCGGCACCCCTCCCGTTCCAAAGCCGGATGCTCAAGGCCAATTCCCTCGACGACCCTCAAAGATTCCTGCACGCGCTGTGGATGATGAGGCTGCTGCCCGATTGCGACGGGTAATCTATGAACTTGACCGCGTACTTGACCCGGCTTAAATTGGCCATGACCGATGAATATCAGAGTTTTCTTCTCCTCCAATTATCGTCCATCAATTGTATAACATATCATATATCTTAAATCCCTTGGAATTATCATTTAATCTTGTATCCTATCTCTTCCTCTTTCACAATGTAATTTTATACTTTCTCTTCTAACTGAAAGCGACCTATCACTCCCCCTGGAGTACCCATTGTCTCAAATGTGACAGATGAGGCTAGAGCCCGAATTGGACTTGCATGCCACGCTGAATCCCTTACAAGCACCTCTTCCAGTGAAGCTCTTTTGATGTGTGAAAAAAAATTGTAGAAGTGGCTAGCGGCTCCCGAATCAACTCAAGATACTGAACAAGAATCCGGGTAATTAGAGTGAACTGATAGACACAGAGGCGATCCCAATCTCCAGTGAGCCTTGGCTTGACACACCCGTCAAGAGTTTACAGCCGGAACCGTAAGATGGCAACTTGATTAAGGGTCACGAATAGTCAACAGATTACGAGCGAGAGGTCAATGGTATCTCGAGAGGCCAACGGTAGCTCCAGAGGCCAATGGTATCTCGAGAGGCCAACGGTAGCTTCATAGGCCAGCGGTAGCTCCATAGGCCGATGGTAGCTTTCCAGATAACGTTCAACTGAATCCTCAGCATTTTTACATGGTGGAGCGGTGCTACCTGTCTCTTCGCTAGACTCAGCAGCTGCAGCAAGTCCCGTTCAGCAGCAAAGGCGGACAAGGGGAGCAGCTCAGCCAACGGAAAGCAGGAAGCAGCAGAAAGGCTCAGCCTCAAACGGATACAATATAAATGCGCCAGCGTCGTTCACCTATTTGTCGTCCCTCACAAACCATCCAAGTGTGCTGGCAGACTTTCACTCCCTCCCCTCTCCCCACCTTCCGCTAGGCTAAAGGTAAGACAGCCTTCTACTTTCTCATCTCTACTCCACAGCCTACCGCTGTCCTCTTAAGTCAGCCTCTCATCCCTTATATATTTGCACTCATCTCCCAGATCTAAAAAAAGAGGCCTCTAAAGAATTATCACGATGGAAGAATCCCTCCGCGGCATGGCTCAAGTAGTTGGTAAGTTTATCTGGCACGATTTTTTTTGTCTTTTTTCCAGCTTTTATGCTGACAGCAACCGTTCCCCCATTATTTTTTGAAGATCTACTTGAAAGGCACGAGTGCGCCTGGGAAGACAAGGAGTACCGCGAGGCTCTTCGCCAAGCATCAAAGAAACCCTGCTATGTGAACCCCGAGTCGAAAGTCATCACCTTGAGACAAATGGTTGCACGGGACCTTGGCTTCCAAGTTGCTGTCAACCACCCCAGGCTCTGCCACTTATGTCTCACAGATGACAGTGCTCCCCAGAAGAATCGCGGCACCCCTCCCGTTCCAAAGCCGGATGCTCAAGGCCAATTCCCTCGACGACCCTCAAAGATTCCTGCACGCGCTGTGGATGATGAGGCTGCTGCCCGATTGCGACGGGTAATCTATGAACTTGACCGCGTACTTGACCCGGCTTAAATTGGCCATGACCGATGAATATCAGAGTTTTCTTCTCCTCCAATTATCGTCCATCAATTGTATAACATATCATATATCTTAAATCCCTTGGAATTATCAATTAATCTTGTATCCTATCTCTTCCTCTTTCACAATGTAATTTTATACTTTCTCTTCTAATTGAAAGGACCTATCACTCCCCCTGCCACTGGAGTACATTGTCTCAAATGTGACAGATGAGGCTAGAACGCGAATTGGACTTGCTTGCACCGCTGAATCCCTTACAAGCAAAATGTAAAACACTTTTAGTGAATTTCTTTATATCTGTGAAAACACATTGTAGAAGTGGCTAGCGGCTCCCGAATCAACTCAAGATACTGAACAAGAATCCGGGTAATTAGAGTGAACTGATAGACACAGAGGCGATCCCAATCTCCAGTGAGCCTTGGCTTGAAACACCCGTCAAGAGTTTAAAGCCGGAGCCGTCAGATGGCAACTTGATGAAGGGTCACGAATAACCAGGAGATTACAAGTGAGAGGCCAATGGTAGCTCGAATAACCAGCAGGTTACAAGCGGGAGGCCAATGGTATCTCGAGAGGTCAACGGTAGCTTCATAGGCCAGCGGTAGCTCCAGAGGCCGATGGTAGCTTTCCAGATAACGTTCAACTGAATCCTCAGCATTTTTACATGGTGGCGCGCTGCTACCTGTCTCTTCGCTAGACTCAGCAGCTGCAGCAAGTCCCGTTCAGCAGCAAAGGCGGACGAGGGGAGCAGCTCAGCCAACGGAAAGCAGGAAGCAGCAGAAAGGCTCAGCCTCAAACGGATACAATATAAATGCGCCAGCGTCGTTCACCCATTTCTCGTCCCTCACGAACCATCCAAGTGTCCCGGCAGACTTTCACTCCCTCCCCTCTCCCCACCTTACGCTAGGCTAAAGGTAAGACAGCCTTCTACTTTCTGTTATCTACTCCACAGCCTACCGCTCTCCTCTTAGGCCAGCCTCTCACCCCTGGAATCTTTGCACTCGTATTCCAGACCTAAAGAAAGCGGCCTCTAAAGAATTATCACGATGGAAGAATCCCTCCGCGGAATGGCTCAAGTAGTTGGTAAGTTTATCAGGAAGGATGTTTTTTTGTCTTTTTTCCAGCTTTTATGCTGACAGCAACCGTTCCCCCATTATTTTTTGAAGATCTACTTGAAAGGCACGAGTGCGCCTGGGAAGACAAGGAGTACCGCGAGGCTCTTCGCCAAGCCTCAAAGAAACCCTGCTATGTGACCCCCGAGTCGAAAGTCATCACCTTGCGACAAATGGTTGCGCGGGACCTTGGCTTCCAAGTTGCTGTCAACCACCCCAGGCTCTGCCACTTATGTCTCACAGATGACAGTGCTCCCCAGAAGAATCGCGGTACCCCTCCCGTTCCAAAGCCGGATGCTCAAGGGCAATTCCCTCGACGACCCTCAAAGATTCCTGCACGCGCTGTGGATGATGAGGCTGCTGCCCGATTGCGACGAGTAATCTATGAACTTGACCGCGTACTTGACCCGGCTTGAATTGGTCATGACTGATGAATATTCAAGTCTTCTCCTTTCCTTAAATCCTCTTTTACCAAATGTATAACATCTAATCTATCTTGCAGCTTCATCATCCTGTATACTCTTGTCACTTGGAATTATCAACTAAGCTTGTATCCTGTCTCCCTTTCATAATGTAATCTTATACCTTCTCTCCCAACTGAAGGCGACCTTCATCTGCCTCTGCAGTAAAACACGGCAGAGGAGGGCAGAGGAATCCATCTCGCATCGCCTGCGCAGCCGAGGCAGCTTGCGCTCCCTGAGATCCTTGCGCGGCTCGTCCCCTTTGGGGGCCTTTCCCCAATACGCTCCCAATACGCTCAGTTACATTTGGAGAGATCTTTCCTAATCTCACCCCAATCCATCCGGTTGAGTGCCTGCCTCAAGTATAAATTGTATCGAGACAGGTATCATATAGGAAGGGAATCTATCATTGTTTGTCTAGTTGGCTTCAATACAACCCGGATATAGTCCAGTTATCTTGTAAACGTGGATTCGCTCAGCCTCAGGTGTTCAGAAGGAGGAGCAAATCTGAGCAAATAGTGAAGTTCAGCCTGCATGTTCATTGAAAATACATATATTTCCGTGAAGATTGTGGAGGCGCCACAGCAAGAAAACCAGCGATGGAGCAGATTGTAACAAAAATTGAAAAGGGCATCAAATCTGTAAATATAATCAATGGCTATGAAGTGATGGAGATATATATGTTCAGCAATGACCCGATCCGGTCACACGCGGAAAAGCAATACATTCTCGAACATTTTCCACCCCCGTTATCCAAGACAAAAGCCTCTCCCAACCGATGCCAAACCCACCAGTGCGAGGGTTTCCAAATTTTCGCAATTCAAGATACCATTGAAACTTGTGATCTTGACCCTCATGTGCGTTAGACAGACTATCATCGACCGCTTCCCCTCCGGTAATCATCCCCTTTTGCATCATGTTTTCTTGTAACTTGGTCAGATTCGATTCTCGTAGCGATCCGCCCACCAATTCTCCAACTCCCGGAACCAGCAAGTCGAAGCATGCGACAGTTTTGCGCTTTTGAGACAAGTCAGAGGGTTTTGCAGTCTGTCTCATGTAAAACGGTTTGATTGAAGCCGGATAATCCGTCACGAAAATCGGCACTCGGGCATAGGTTCCCGAAAGCCACTTCTCATGTTCAGATGCCAGTGGTTGACCCCAAGTAATGGGTGGAAGTCTATTGGCTTCAGAAGGATGTTCCTCATGATGCGATTGGACGAGCTCCACCGCTTCGGTGTATGTTATCCGAGGCCAGCTTTTTGACGTGGAATTGTACGGCTCTTTGGGGGCCCGAAGGGACTGAAGGTCTAGGGAGGAGAGACTATCAGATTGGTGAAGATTTTGAATAATGGACTTGATTAAATTTTCTAGTAATACTATCAGGCTTTCTAGGTCTTCAATGAATGACAATTCAGCTTCGAGCATCCAAAATTCGGCAAGGTGTCGATTTGTCTGAGACCGTTCGGCCCGGAAAGCTGGTCCGAATGAGTAGACTCTTCCGAGACTGGCCGAGAGAGCTTCCAAATGCAATTGCCCCGACACGGTGAGGAAAGCCTCGCGTCCAAAGAACCGTGATTCGTGGGAGGCGGCAGACTCGGGTGCCGAGTTAGGTACTTTTTCCGATATTGTGATGGGTGGTTGGAGAGATGATTTTGATTGGCTGTCGGGTCTGACGGAGAACACTTCTCCCGCGCCTTCACAATCGTTGAACGTGATGATTGGTGTTTCGGAGCGAAAGAAATGCTGGGCATGCAGGAATGAGGATGCTTCTTGAATCATCGTCGATCGTATCCGCATGAGTGCGCTGGTCTCGTGTGTACGAACGCGCAGATGAGGGATCCTTCTTAAGAACGCTGCGCCGTGTGTTTTCTTTTGCAGAGGGTATTCGAGTGCCAAGCATGGGCCAACCAAGTTCACTGAACGTGCTTTGAGCTCCTTTGATTGCCCATTACCACGACTCAAAACTAAGTTTCCAGTGACTCGGATCGCACAACCAGTTTCAAGCTCTTCCGAGTCCTTGGGTCCGACGACAACTTGTAAGTGATGTGGTGTTGAGCCGTCAATCAGTTCAACAAATGATACATTCTTCTGTTTCCGAATCGTCTTGATCCATCCACAGGCTGTAACCAGACGGTTTTCGCAGGTTGGAAGTCGCAAGATTTCCTCGATCACAGGGAATAACGATGAACTTGAATCAGGCGAGATGGAGGATGTAAGAGGGTTGGATTGATCCTCCTTGATTGTTTGATGTATAAAGAAACGAAACAGCTATCAGAATTTGCGCTACTAGTTATCTTACGATCGGGGAGAAATCAGAAATACGCAGAGAAGAACTAACAGTTGGTGGTAGGTTAAGCAATTCAGTCAATTTCTGAAGATCTGTTGTAGTCGGTTGATTCTTGCCATAAAATAGTCCGGCAGTCCAGCTTTCTGATCTTTCATTCATTCATTCCAACCGAAAACAGAAAAAATAGAACCCAGATATTAGTAAAATTGTTTGTGCAGGGATGAAAAGAATAAGAAAAAGATAATAGAAAACAAAATCACAAACCCGATTCACCTCCCAATGTGATTAGCGATCTCAACAAAGCTCAATTGTTTCTTTTCTTTCGCGTTTATCAGGTCCTAGAAGGTCAATGGAAAAACAAAAATCATTGATTCGTGAATAAAGTGTCTATGCACTCCGTCGAGGCACCCAAAACCGCATACCTCAGTAACTATGCTTCGGGTTAGCCCAGTTGAGATTCTCCGAGTGACTCTTGGTTTGAGGGCACATGCGACGGTGTGCAAATCTGGCTTGACGGCCACTCTTCTTGCGGAGTAAGCGAGCATCTTGAGGGTCGGTTCCGTATTTTTTTCAGGGGTGAAGGCTTGTTTGCCACACGTACCGCCCCCACACCGGCTACATACGCCAACACATGGCGCCCCCGAACCCGATACATACTCCCGACACCTGCTGCTCCGGCGCAGCCACTTCCAAATCTCGCCGTAACCTAACCCAGGTAGCACCCATCCAACCGGTGTCCTTCAACCGGTCCCTTGGCCAGCTCGTCATCCACCACCACCCGCTCTAACTTTTTTCCCTCAGCTTTGCACAATTTGCGTGTAGGCCACCCGTAAAGTTAGATCCGTCTCTCCTTGCACACCAACCAAGATGACTGTAAGTCAGATCATTCACCCTTCTCGCCTTTTTCCGAATGGCTTTCAACAGCGTCTCGGTAGAGGCTGAGATCAATGACCTTCTCCCCTCCCTATTTCCGTGATCGATATACCCTCGACTCGATGTAATCGCAGTCCAAGACTACCGTCACCCAGAAATTCTTCGTCGATTTCAAGAAGCCCGCCAGCGATGGTGTCTTCGACGGCCCTGCTTTCGAGAAGTTCCTCCACGATCGAATCAAGGTTGAGGGTCGTGCCGGTCAACTCGGTGACAAAATCAAGATTCAATCAGAGGGTCCGTTCTAGACTTCGATGTTTTTTTTTTTTTTTTTCCTTTCTCCATTTATCTGTATCCAGATCACTGCCCTAACATAATTTCTTCGCCCTACTCTAGGTGTCCACAAGCTCTCGGTATCTTCGACGATCCCATTCTCCAAACGTTACCTGAAATACTTAACCAAAAAGTTTCTCAAGAAACATCAAATCCGAAACTACATTCGGTTAGTGCGAGAGATACTGCTAAATGTACCTCAGCCAGGTTGCTAACGAGCAGTTTTCAAATTTTGTTGATAGTGTGATTGCCTCGAGCAAGAACACTTATGAGCTCAGATACTTCTTGGTTGATGAGCCAGACGCAGAGGAGGACGACGATGCATAAAGTTACTAGTCCTAATGACCATTTGGCGGGCTAACCTGGAAGGCACTCCACACAATGTCATCAACGACATTTACATGTTTTGAGACTTTTCACGGCGTTTCCCGGTTGCACTTTGTCATACCTTTCTTTTTTTTTTTTTTTTGAAATGATTAAGCAATTGTTCATCGTTTCAGCAATGACTGGCGTCCTTCGCAATCAGTCTGGCATGACTTGGTCACATAATGAGGTAGCATGTGGTGTGCAGTGGACAATCTTAGTGCAGCTGACAGCCAGCCGAGTTTACAGTTTACTGAAACTCGAGGTATCAAGACACCAATGGCAATTTCAACTCGGGGTGATAAGGATGCTTGATGAGGCTTGGTGTATTTGCCCGAAGCAGCCAAAATTATTTATTGTCCGGTCATGTCTGAGCGTGTGTAACGGTTGCCAACCCCTTCAAAAATAAACTGTCTAATACAATTTAGTTTGTCCCCGTCCTGGTTCCCTGGGCCAGATATGTTGGTCTAACTAGGCCAGATTCCAAGACTACCTGTAGAACCCCTCACAGGGGAGGGTGAACGGAAATGGATACTTGAACGGGTCTTTGTTTGACATTTCTCTCTTTCTGATCATCCCAATCTCATCTCCTCTTTCTACTTTCAAAGACAACCATCAATCGGAAAAAAGCATGTCCTTCCTCCCAGCTCAGCTCAACTTGCCCGCCTCGCCTCCTGTTGCACTTGATCCTCCAACACTGACCTGTCTATCTCGACAATCTATTTACTTCTTTCAAGTTTGCAATCGCCAAGGTATGTTGGATGATTGTACCTTATCATTGGTTGATCGAAAACAATCTGATGGTTCCTGTTATAATTATGCAGCTCATTCAGTGGTGCCAATTGTTGACACACTCGCTGGGGAATCCTTCTTAGCTCTCTTGAAGACTTCTTTGAAGCTGATTGCCATGGAAGGTAAATTGATCAGTCACTTCTCCTTCGACTTGGAAAGAAACACCAAACTGATAGATACTTGATTGATTGCAGATGCGCCGGCGGACTCGGAGCAGTCAACGTCCCAGCAGTTAAGCCCAGCCATGAAACGCGCTGTCGAGGCGATTGTCGAACAAGCCACGTCGGCACTCCGAACCGAACATCAAGAAGCTCTGCTCGATGCTCGGATTGATTTTGAGCAAGTCGAGGAACAACTGACCAAACGAATCGATGAACTTTCAGCTCAGGTGGCCCGACTCGAAAACCAACAGCGGGGTTCGACTGTTAGTAGTGCTAGTACTATTGCTCCCCGCAGGCCATCTCCATCTGAATCAGGAACCAGCACTAGTACGCGTCGTGTTCGTCGTCGTCCTGCCTGATCTGGCCCGATTCTCTGCCGTGTATATAGATATCTCTCCTCCTTTCCATCTTCTCTCATCATCTTGTCAAATGGAACATTCCCACCTGGAGTTCCCCGGGGTAACAATGCTGTAATCCTACAACTGCCCTTTGCCATTGAGCTCGAATTGCGCGTAAAGATACACTTGAGCGTCTTCTCTCTCTCGCCTTGAACAAATATATTGCTGGCTACAAATTACAGACAAGCGTCGCGTCACTCGCGTGTTCATATCAGTATTGCAGCACCCAACAGTAATCTTGCACAGGATGATGAGTCTGTTGTTAATGTTATTACAAGCTGGATGTTCGCTGTGCGTATCATTCTGGCTTTCCGGCCAACCGCTGCCAAGCTGAGAGTCGAACGTGGGCAATCGCTACGATCCAAGCTATGTCTGAGTATATTCATGTTTGTAGCGAATTGACTATGGCTACAGCAGTTGTACTATTTACTGGATATATCAATAGAATCGATTGCTCCCGAAAGCCTTGTTTTGCGTTCTTCCGTCCTGCTTCTTGCTTCTTCCCCTCCTCGGCGATGTGCGTCGTCAGGCCATCCTGTGTATTTCATCGGTGTAGTCCACTGCCAACAACAGACTCCTCCTCAGCTTCCTTTTAATACATATGTTTATTATGTATACCAGCCGCACTCGGTCCATCAAGAACATGATCGTGTATGCCCTAGAGAGCCGAGAAGGAAAGTGTATAGCCTCGACTTAAAAACCAGAGCCTCGATCAGCCGTTTGTTGCGGCTTTGGTCTTTCCTTCGTCTTCCATCTCATCGAAATCTGTCTATAATCCCCAACCTCAACAACAAGTTCTCGCTCTGACCGGTCACCGAGCTCCTCCTCATATAATAGTTACCTGACTCGCCCTTGCCCGTTCTCTCTTAGCGATCGAGCTCCGTTCCCCATCGGTTATTGCATTTCATCTTCACATTTGTTCAAAAAAAGAAAGAAAAAAAAAGAGAAAAGAACAGCGCGATAGAAACACTGTCGGAGTCGACACGTTCGTCCGTTCGTCCCTCGGTTACCAAAGAAATCCCCTAGCCTGTCGGCCTCGCCCAGCAACACCCATCTGTCTCATAAACCGTGTGTCTATCATTTTGTAGGTGTGTGCGGTTTTCCATCTTACAGCGATGTGATTATTCATCCACCCCGCCGACATCCTTGCCCACGTTCTCTCTGAGTATATGCTCTTGTAAAAATATTTGTCCGATCGTGTTCTGCCCACGTTCTCCGGCTTGAGCCTCCCCTCTCCCCCATAAAAAACATCTCTGTTGGCGAGATTCCAATTAACACTGGCGAGACTCGTTCGAATGATAATTAACTGACTCCTGCAACACGCCCGTCTCATCGAGTGTCCACTCACGTTGTTAGTCACCACCGGTCTCGGTGTACGACCAAGAAATATAAACCAATACTCCCTTGGAAAAAATAGTCCACCTCTTAAACAGCAACACCACGCCCCACCCTCAGCTGCATCCATCTCCCCTGACTATTGACAGACACTTTCCGGCTATTTTAGGACAATTTGCTATCTCTTTGCTGGCTTCCTTCCAGCGGACTCTCCCCAGCCACCCCGGACAGTCTCATTCTTACTCAGCTTACGTCTTCTCCAAACTTCCTCCCCTGCCAGCCCTTGTGAGCCTATTTGATCTCTCACCTTGATCAGATCTTTTTCCAATCCTTGCCCATTATAACGTACTCGTAGCCCCGGACTTTGCAAAGTTCCGACGTCAGATCCTTTGCGGCCCAAGTCAAGCTTCTTTTGTCTTTCTGTCCACAACGGATCCACCGGCCTGCTGAACATCTTCTCGCTTTTCTTTCCTCAAAGACTAGACTCTATTTGCACCATCCAATTTCATTTTCGCTTTCTGTCATCAATAATAACCTCTATTAATCCCCATCCATTACCTCACCCATATAATACACCTAAATCAATACCCATCCTGTCCACATCTTCACCACAGAAATCCTGACACCATTAACTCCCCGTGCCGTTTTGTCTTATTTTTTTTTCTTTTTCAGCTCAAGGACCATTACACTGCGAGACTCGAACGACGAGCGCCCAAACCACACCTCCTCCCCCATCCGATCGATATCTCTCCACCAGTCAATTCTCCTGCCCTAGCCAGCTGACCGCTCTCCAATCCGTTGTGTCCTTCTCTGTCACCAAACATCTCTCCCAAAGATGGTTGCTGAAGCCGATCCTCTGCCCAAGACCTTGACCTCCTCAGATGACCATAACATCACCACCCAGACTCGTCTCGCCCCTCATGCCAACGACCTCACCGAACGTCGTCGGGCTGCCTTGGCTGAAATCGACACCGCCAAGTTTGGTTGGTTTCATGTCCGCGCCGTCCTCGTTTCGGGCGTTGGCTTCTTCACCGATGCCTATGACATGTAAGCTTCATTTGAGTTTTGGTCCCCTGTAATCTCGCGTCAACAGTCCTGTCTTCGCGTTTTAGTCGACTTGTAAATATTGTACTCATCCGCAAGATGGGGTCTGATCGTCCATTCCCCTTACAGCTTCGCAATTAACATTGCCAGTATCATGTTGGGATACGTGCTCAAACAAGGAGGAAGCTTGACATCAAATCAAGATCTCGGGATAAAGGTCGCCACCCCAATCGGAACGTTTTGTGGCCAGCTATTGTTCGGGTGGCTAGCAGATGTGTACGGGCGAAAACGGATGTATGGTATTGGTCAGTTGAGAAATCAGAAATTAACTACAATCATATCAGTGTGGCCTTTGGTTTGAGAAGAGCCCAAACCAGCCGATCATTAAGCCGCGTGGAAAATAGTTCTAATGCATTTTCTGTTTGGTATGTAACTAGAATTGATGATCATTATCATCGCGACTGTCGGGCAGGCGGTTGCCGGATCAGGTCCAGGCGCCTCCCTGATAGGAGTCTTGATAATGTGGCGGTCAGTCAGACATTTGGATACTTGAGCATCATCAGCCAAAGAAAAAATAGAAATGAAGACGACTGAGCGTGTCTGTTTGTTGCACTGTTCCAGGTTTTTCCTAGGTTTAGGCATTGGTGGTGATTATCCACTCTCGGCTTGCATTACCTCCGAATTTGCCGCGATTCGGATTCGAGGCCGAATGATGACTGCGGTATTTGCTTCCCAAGGTGAAACATCATCAGCCACACATTCAACCCCTCCCAAAGTTTGACTGGGGGGTGATCTATAATTAACGCACCCGTTGTCACTTGATGTGTCCAGGTTTTGGACAGCTCACGGCAGCCCTAGTAGCTCTCGTCGTCGTCAAAGCCTTTGAAGGCTCGATTCGGGATGACCTGATCGCTGGCGAGTCGGTTGATTACTGTTGGAGACTGCTGATTGGACTTGGAGCGTTACCGGGAGCAGTAGCGCTCTACTTTCGATTGACGATTCCCGAGACACCCAGATACACTATGGACATCGAAAGGGACATCCAGGGTGCCGCTGGTGACGTGGATGCATTCCTTTCGACAGGTGGTTATGCCCACGTGAGTTTCCTGAAAACATCCCGCTCCCGCTGTTTTTTTTCTCCGGTACTCACTGCTCTCCAATCCATGTTTAGGATTATGAAAAATCTGCAACCCGTGCCGAGGTACCCAAAGCTTCTCGACGTGATTTCGTCCATCATTACTCGCAATGGCGTAATTTCAAGATCTTGTTCGGATGCGCATGGTCCTGGTTTGCTCTTGATGTCGCATTTTATGTAAGACATCCGCAGTTGTTCGCTATCGTGATGGATGAAAAATTGAAAATTTGAAAAATTATTTCACAGGGTCTTGGCTTGAATTCGTCGATCGTGTTGAAAGCAATTGGTTATGGAGCCGCAACCACAGGAACCAAGAATGAACAGATTTATCAGACACTCGTCAATATTTCGAGCGGGAATGTTATTCTATCCGTTGCAGGACTGATCCCTGGATATTGGGTTGCATGTAGGTTCTAATGAAATTTAACCTTGAATTTATGTTATGCTCATTACTCACTTGGATTTTTTTTTCAACAGTTGCTTTCATTGATTGGTGGGGCAGAAAGCCAATTCAGCTCATGGGTTTCTCAGTTCTTACTGTCTTGTTCATCGTCATGGTCAGTCGATCTGTCTTTGATTTCCCCGGTAGAACCCACTTAACTCACACAATTGGGTCTTTGTAGGGTACCGCGTATCATCAACTTATCCAACACACGGTCGGCCTATTCATTGCATTTTACTGCTTTGCAAACTTCTTTCAAAATTTCGGTCCCAACACGTCAGTTGATTCTTTTGTTTGCAAGGGTTCAACTGATTACACAAACTGATGGAAATTTCTCGATCTCAGCACGACCTTTGTCATTCCTGGAGAATGTTTCCCCACCCGTTATAGGTCCACTTCTCACGGTATCTCAGCTGCTTCCGGCAAACTCGGAGCAATCATTGCCCAAGTTGGCTTTGCCAGACTGAAAGATATCGGAGGGAAGGATCAATTTATCGACCAGTTGAGCGCAAAATGATTTCTCTTGACTCTTGGTTCACCGATAACTGACTTGCAACCGTCCTATCCTAGCATTTTCCAAATCTTCGCCGCCTTCATGTTTACTGGTTTGCTCACCACGTTCCTGCTTCCTGAAACCAAAGGGAAATCTCTCGAAGAACTATGTAAGTATGATGAATGATGAATAATTATCTATTATAATAGCCACGCAGTCTGTGTGCCTGACTGACTGACTTTTTGATAAACCATGCACAGCCGGAGAAGACCAAGACGACTTTGTACAATCGTGATCGACCTCATATAACTTTTTGGATTTTAATTTGGGTTGATTGATTTGTTTGTTCAGAGGCGATGAATATCCATATATAATGAACAATTTGTACATAAGCCCCACGGGGTGGGTGGATTCGTCAAGGGAAATCGCGTGGCAGATTATAACACAAGAGCGAACTAGAAGGGAGATGATGTGGGATCTGAATGGGGGGGCTGAATCGCCTCCACTGTCGCTGCACCCTGACGGCCGAAAATACAGACCGGGAACGGGGCCGGTGGATCGGGACTGAAGCTCAGCTGGGGGGGGGGGGGGGGTTGTGATGATTGGAATCAAACACATAGATACATGAATCAAGTGCCCGTGATTGGACCACACTCAGGCTTGAGAACACACAAGTCAAAAACAAACACAATCACCATGTCGCAAAAGATTATAAGGATAATTGCTGATTTATCTTTTTTTTGTAATCTATTTTACTCTTTTTTTTTGGTTTCACACACACACACATCAGCTTGTCCAACCCATTCCAGGGTTTTGTATGGGTTTGTGTACTGGAGGAAGGGTGTTGAAATTTTAGAGCTAAAGCATGTATGAGGTTGAGGGCCAAAAAAGAAGAGTCTCATTTTTGGGAAGGGCTCGCGGAAAAAGAGTGTAAGAGCCGATAATTTTTATTCACAAGTATCTAGCTAGGTTTAAATAGACTAAATACAAGTGTGTCAAAATGTGGTTGTAAGAAATGAAATGAATAGAAAAAACATATTGAATAAAACACTGAGAGAAAGAAACATGAGTCTTGGAAGTAACAAACTGGACAGGGCTTCTCAGTCTCTTTTAGTCAGGCCAGATGAGTTAATCAAGAAAAACATGCTATAATTCACAAATAACTAGAGTCGTTAATTCTAATTAATCAGGTTTTAAGAATCAAATAATGAAAATAGAAAAAGAAAGAAATCATTCTTCAGAGCTAGAGTTGTATGATAAATTGCCACAGGAGTTCTAATTAGACTTCAAGTGTGCAGAAGATTCAACAAAAAACTAGGTAAGATTGGTTATAATTCAGTCTATATCAAGATGATTCAAGAAAGGAATAAAGAGAAACAATAGAGGGGAATAGAATGTTTTTTGGGAAGGAGTAGACCTAGGAGTGAAAAACTCAACAAAGGGGTTCTGCTACATTGCCAGATTCTTGTGAACCCGCCTTGCTCTGTTTCAATCATCATGAAAGCTCAATGCTGGCGGGCAATCTTTTTTGGACAGTCGCAGCTGCATATGTATAAGACCCCCCCCCCCTCTCAACAACGTCTTGCTGGTCCGGGGGCTCTCCGATGCCAACTTATAGCTCAAGGCCTACACAGTAAACACACACCAATTTTAAGCTTTTGAAAAAAAAAAGTTATAGTCTATAGATATGGCAACTGGGCTAGACGAAAAAGATGAGAGGCCACACACAGTTGGTACAATGTGTGGAAATAAAGCTAGAATAATCTGATTCAAAAAAAACGGATTGGTTATGTTTATATGTACCTGACTTGAAACCAAGATGCCCCCCTCTGCCCAAATCATGAGCTGAAGACATTGTTTATTTTCACTCGTGTTATATCTTAATTGCAGTGTTCTACGGATGTGTTAAAAATAAAATTAAAAATCTGTGTCTATGTCCCAAGCAGCCCTCTTGTTTTCACAGGGCCTGTTCATTCGAATCCCAGCTTTCTACTTGAAGGTTTCTCTCTCAAGAGCGCTGTGTGTTAGGCTTACAGAAACATTCTCAATGTGTGCCATCTGAGTGAGTGTATCTGTTCTTAACCAGACCCAATCAGCTGTCACTACCACATGTTTTTGCAGGAGGGGTGTTGAAAAAGGTATGCTAAATTGTCAAAAATTTGAAAATCATACTCTTGAAGAAGCTTGAAAAAGGTATGAATTATCATGGTGGACCAAAAAGATGCGCTTGAAAGTGCACATTTTAGGCATGTGAAACTGGTCAAAACCAGTGAAATCTGGAATTTGACCCCCCAAAAAAATCAGAATTAAGGTGGGGAACCCCCTCTTTTTGGGGGATTTTGCCCTGGGCATAATTGGGGGACTTGTTGGGGTCCTGGATTTGTGGGAATGTGTCAATAGATTGACCATCTCATGCGCCAACATGAATTTTACCCTCTTTCTACGTAAGTTGGTGAGCTTCCCGGATTGATCTTGACTGAAGTGTTGCGAAGTTGTCTTGCTTCAGCTCTGCTTGGGTCTAATAATTGAAGCCGTTTCGGGGCCGCATGTGACGGGCTCGGAGGCCGGGCGCTCGAGCTCCACCCGAGCCCGGGCCTCCTCTCAGAATTACGCAATTTACGTAACATCGATCGGATCGACACTGTAATACCAACATCAATCAACCCAAACTTGTACAAGAATGGTAAGTTCAGTCCACTTCAATTCCAGAAGCCATCCTCACGTTCTCACTTTCTAATCAATCAAACCACTCCTGGATCCAACAGGCTACCCCATCAACTGGTGGCACCAAGTTTTCTGATAAACCTCCAGCCCCACTTCCGACCGACCAACAAGCTGCACTAGATAAATCTCCTTCCCAAACCATCGATGGAAACCAAGTGGCCGCTAAGCCTACCCAGGCGTGGAAAAGCTTTCTCTCAGGTAAGCTCATGTTCTTTTCTTTTGCCTACTTATGCGTGTTGCTTGTGTTGATCGAGATCCCGGTTGACCTTGTTTGCCGGTATATGTACATCACAGGGGGCTTTGGTGGCATTTGCGCAGTATTAGTGGGTAAGTGTTCAAGTGGAGGTGGTCATTCGGATTGACATTCTCAGTCAAATGAGTTATTTGGAAATTGTGAGACTGACATTTTCAAAAACACTTCTGCTTGCAGGCCAGCCGTTTGATTTAACGAAGACCAGACTACAGACTGCTCAACCTGGTCAGTATTCCGGCACGATGGATGTTGTACGCAGGACATTTGCCAAAGATGGGGTCTCAGGGTTCGATCAATGCATCTTCTCTCTTGAAAGTGACGCAATGCTGAAAGGAAAAACGGTCCTATCTCCCTTTTTTTAATAAACAATAGCTTCTATAGGGGAATGAGCAGTCCTCTAGCGGGTGTTACGCCAATGTTTGCCGTTTCTTTCTGGGTGAGTACAAACCACATTTCTTGAAAACCCCCACATTTTTTTTTGATAAATGTATCCTTGGAGTTGATCTTCTTTCTTCATGCTCTATAGGGATACGCCATGGGGAAGAAATTGGTGTATTCTTTTTCTCCTACTAGAACCTCGAAGGAGCTGTCATACTCCGAGTACGCAATTGCTGGTGGGTTTAGCGCTCTGCCAACTACCCTAATAGCTGCTCCGATAGAGAGAATCAAAGTCTTATTACAGGTAAGAAGTCCGCAACTACGAGATAGCTTCCAATTCTTCAACCTTCCGGTTTTATTTACTTACTAGTTTTTTTTGTAACGAACATCAACTTTCAGGTTGATGGTCAAAGTGCCGGTCAACAAAAGTATTCAGGTGCAATTGATTGTGTACGGCAAGTGTATAAAGAAGGCGGGATCAAAAGCATTTTCCGGGGCTCGTTAGCCACAGTGGTGCGCGACGCACCTGGCAGCGCTGCGTAAGTCATCTGCGCGAGCAGAGTACCTTGGCATCCGTGGCAAATCATCAGCTCATGCCTTTTTCCAATTCCTGTTTTGCGTTAGATACTTTGTTGCTTACGAGGCTGCGAAGAAATCGTTAACTCCAGCCGGTTCTGACCCCACGAAGCTCAATCTGTCTGCTATTTGCGCAGCGGGAGGTACAACTCTCATCTCATATTTAAATGCTTTCATGTAAAACAATCATCTGACACTTTGTTGATTTAGGCTTTGCTGGGATTGCCATGTGGTCAATTGCTATTCCGCCCGATGTGAGTTGACCAGGATAACTGACGCTGACTTGGAAAACAGCGCGGGTTAATTAGATGATGGAAAATGAGACTGATTACTGATTTTAAAATGAAAAACATTAGGTGATCAAATCTCGACTTCAGTCTGCGCCAGAAGGGACTTATTCTGGCTTCCTTGATTGCGCGAAGAAAACGGTGAAAGCAGATGGGCCTAAGGCTTTATTCAAAGGACTTGGCCCAGCTATGTGGAGAGCTGTCCCTGCTAATGCTGCCACCTTCTTAGGAGTCGAGTTGGCGCTATCTGCACTTAACAAGTTGAGTCTTGTAAATAGTTTTGGGTTTCAAGGAATCGCGACTCATTTTCTTGTTTTCCATTTTAGGGTCGCATAATCGTTACAAGGCGCCCAGGAAAGTGTTGCTCCTTGGGTGGCGTTATGTCTGATGCGCATGATAGCTTTATATTGTACAATAAATTGTAATCTCGTTCTGACCCCCGAAGAAACTGGAGCAAGAACGCGGATCTTTGCCATCTACTTTCTGTCAAAAGTCGTTCCCATCAACTAAATGTACATGTTGTAATTTGCCCCTTGATCTTCCCATTTGGTTCTGTGTTTTACATGCAAGATGCTACGATAGAAACCCCTACCAGTCATGAATCGACAATATCTTCATCTGAAATGTATCAGCGCACTAAATATTTTGCAAAGGTGTTGAGGAAGAGAAGAATGAGAACTAATTAACATCTCTTAGGCAAAATTGACCACATTGGTTACAGTGTTCGGCTTCATCCCCCATCCCAATATTCTCGAATAGCGCTGAGACCCTCCCTTATAGATAAACCCTAGCATGCATCCTCACAGGGCTCATGAGTCTCATCCCAACCTAGAACATTCCAATCATCTTTTTCATGGTCGATAGAGTCGAGGAGCAAGACTCAGGAGATTTCTTCCTGGGCGGGCAGAGCTAGATGAGTGGCAATGGATCTCATCTCGAATCTTCAATCCGAGGGAGTAAAATTTGTTGACTGAATCAAATGGTCTTGAAGGAATGCTTGATATGCTATTGGCTATCCAGCTTACAAGTGGGTTGATCAGGGGGCTGAATAGGGCTACTGTCTAAGCCATCCTTTACGGGCCATTTATTTACATAAATTGTGAGACAGTCTCTGATCAGAAATTTAATTGGCCGCATGACTCACTTGTGTATTTAGCATTGTTCAACGGTCAACCCGGTTTTATTCTGGGAGGTCCCAAAAGGGAAGAAAGAAAATTCATATATATTTGGCCAATTTCGAGCAGAGAGCAGTGGTCTCTGGTTCTGACGAGGAATGCAGCGGCACCTACAGAATTGAATCAGTAACAAACATCAAGAGACCATACGGGCCCATCGAGCTTGGATTCTTCCTAGGTTTTAGCTTATGAGATACATGATATTTTTGGTGTTTAGGATGCAGGCGTCTTTCCTGATTAATTAACACATTAAGAGCCTAGGAACTTGTAAGATTCTTGGAAAATATCTGTAAGTTAACCTAACAGACAACCCATTTGAGACCGACAACTCATTTGGGTCTCAAAAGGATTTAGAGAGTTACCAGAACTGGTGACGACCAGGAATCGCCAGTCAGTTTTGAGTTATGAACTTGTATCGAAGTATATTTTACCGATCGACTGGCTCAGAACAAGCGGTATGTATTCAAAAATTTGACACTCAAAGTCAAACTTTGTCTACTTTTGCTTACAAGGGGTGCTTGAACTATGGGTTGGCAATGAGACACTTTTCAACGTACCAACGGACACCGACTTGGTGGCAAAGCGGTCATCACATGTTGCTAGATTTTATCCTTGACAATAACCCTAGTAGAATTTCCTCTCTTCAATGCTTGTGGGTTTTCCACGCATTCTCAAACTGAATTTGTCAAAGATTCTGACGGTGCTGCTTACCACGCGGAAAATCCGACCAGCTGAGTACTGCTACCTTAACACAAAATCGGCCATGGAGTCTGTACGGTCTCCATGGCTCAAAGGGATTTTTCTGCCCATCAAGGAGGTACTGATTCCATGGCCGGGAGCATGAGCAAACCCCCCCCCCCCCAAAAAAAAAAAAAAAAACGCTGGCCGCGGAATTGGGGGTCCGACCCCCAAACCTCCAGCGGGGTTTGAAGTAACGACTCCCCGGATTGCTCAGACCCAATGTTGGGTCATGGGCTGAGAGCTTCATTCTTGGATCTGGCCGGCATCTCCCAAAAATTGAAGCTGGGACTCCAATTTTTGGGAGTTATATAGCCTGCAAGACCCTATTTATAATTTAAGGCTGTTGGTGAGGTGTGTTTATGTGTTTGTCTACAGTCCCAACATGCTTGAGACTGACACCAAGTGTCTGGTTTTCAGACTCCTAGCCAGAGCAAAATGATGGAGATATTGAAAAAGAAGCTTGGGGCTGTTTTTTTATTCTTGGGTTGAATTTTCAACAAAGAGCAAGATGGTCAGATGAGAAATGCTGCTCTGAGTCAGTTAGGATTCATTTCAAGAAGGGGGAGACATATTTGATAGAAGATCAAGAGCACAAATTTGACAGGGAAATGACAAGAACACTTAGGCTTGTTTGGGCAGTATTCTGTTGGAATATATACCCTTAGCCTGGATTTTTCTCAATCAAAAACTCTGCAAATCATTCATGGAATTGTATACCTGATTTTCTTTGGCATTTTTCACTCACTGAAATCAAACATCTTGGTTTATCACTATCTCAATATAATCACAAATCCAAACTGTGGTTGTGTAGATTGAATATTTCCAATTGAATAGAAAAAAAGGGAACAGTCAAGGAAGATTGTGAAAAAGGAACCACAAAAGATAGCAAGAGCAAATCTCAGTAAACAGCTACTAAAGCAGGGATAAAATTCAACATTTGAGAGTCACAAATACAAACATAAAATAAAATCTTGTTTAATTTAATTATCAAGTCCAAACAAGCTTAATTACTGAATAGAATTTGAAAATAAAATGGAGCAAGAGGGAGGGGGGTTGAGGATTCAGTAGGAAGAATAGATAATTGCAGGCTTGAAATAATAGCGGGGTTCACAATAGTGTTTTTTTTTCTCCTTGTACCCGTAATTTTTGTTCTTGCTTGCACATTGCTGACATGAATTTTTCCAGTAAAAATATAAACTTTCACATGGAATTATAAGTGCACAGAAGTACTTTGGCTTCTCTGAACCCCGCTTACATAAATACATCAAGCTGTAAAAAAGGGTTGCAATATGTCAACAATATTATAAAAAAGGATTTGCAAAAAATAAAATCTATTTTGATGGATTTTTCTCTGACAGTCCAAAATAGTTCAGTATCAATGCTTTTAATAGTGGGGTTCATGATTGAAATTTTTAAATTTATGGGGCCAATTTTAGGACCTTTATCAACCACATTTTAAAATTTTTATGAGTTGGATGGATTTGAGGGCTTCTGAACAATCCACACAGCTTTTCAAATTTGAAAAAAGTGATAAACACCTTAAAATGAGCTTTAAAATTTAATAAGTTTCAATCATCAACCCCACTAATAGAAGATCAAGATATTGTATCATAAAATATTTTCAGCATCAGCATCAATTGTCAAATTTTTGGCTGGTTTCCTCTTTTTATTTCAGAGTGTGTGAAAATAAATACCTTCATCAACAGTACATATGGTTTAGTCCTACCAACTTGGGTTATCTCAGTCTATGAGAAAAAAAGAATTCTGATTTGTATTGGTTAAAGCTTAATGGACATCTGAGATGCAAGCCATTGCATGAAAATTTTGATTCTCATCTAAGCTCTCAAGGGAACTGGTTAAAACAATAGCACAAGTCTGGTTGGTTCCGGGTGACCCTTTTCTTCTTTATTTTTCATTCCCTTGGACAATTTTTTTATAATCCAGAAGGAAAAGAGGTGCCCATTCTGTTCCGAAAGGAGAAAAAACCACTAGTTACACTAACTCAACGCAATTCCTTCAGACAGCCTTTTCCCTTGTGCAAACATTAATTTTTCCCTGAGCCCTTTTTAAATTTCAAACTCCATGTGTACATAATTCTATGGAAACACCCTGGCCAAAAATTGGGAAACTCGTGTGGTCTTTTTTTGTTCTCATTCAAAACGGAAGCTAAACGATTTGTAAAAGGCGGACCCAATGTTTGTAGCCAATCAAATGTTCATTCATCATAAGTTAGCCAAGACTGACAACGGTCCCTTTCGAAGATTTCCAAGCAAGAAGTGGGACAGCAAGCAAACCTTACCAAACCAATAATCAAGCCATGGGAAGCTTTAATGGAATCGGATACTTGTCGACCAGTCAACCCGATAATCTGCCGAGCTACAATGATGGCACTGAGGAATGCGGTTCTCCATCGTTGTCTGGCCCTAATGGATAAGAGTCTTGCGTTGTTCTGAGTAAGCTGATTAAGGGCTTGATGTCAAAGGGCAACGGTTGATAGGTACTACTCGATATCCTCGTTGACTAATGGTCAACATTGACTATCCTAATTCTTCCCTTTACTCGCTACGAGGTCCGCGAGGGCGAGTCCTACCCAATACCATCCTTTGAAAAATGTCCATCGTCGCTTTCCTTTCAACGTTGTTATGCAAATATAAATGCAAATGTATATGTTGTATGTAAATTAGTTGCCATCCTCAAGTACCATTTGCCCGTTCCACTGAGACAATTCTGCTGATATGCCCTTAGCACAAGAGGTTTGCTTCGGCCTGAGTATTGACACCGTCAGCCCTTGTGTGGACAGTACATTATGACATATTGTACCTTTCACCTCCACAGGGATGGACTGACTCGTGCGTAGCCCGGCGTGCTGGGTGTGGAAGTAACAAAAGGAGTTGTTTATGCGTAGTATGCAAAATCATGTGTCCTCAGTGCTGACTTTGATATGTATGACCCTATTCCCACTGATGTCGGAGGAAGCTAAGGAGCAGGTTACTCTCTGGTAGCCGTTGTTTGTCGCAATCTCAGCGTCTCTACCCTGGTTGACGGGTTAGCTCAGCCAACAGGTTGACCACTTATAAGAGCCGCACTCGTCGTTGTTGGGACCATCCATTGGCATCCAATCAGACCCATCCAGCCTTTTCCCCTCTTCACCACCACTCCTCTACATACTAGTTGGCAGTTTTACAAGAAACATAAACAAATCGCATTCTTTTTGAAGGTTTTGAAAACCAATTTATCTATAGAATCACCGTCATAAACCAAGCCCTTTCCACGTGCTACTCTAGTTCAAACAAGCTACCTATCGAAATGTACCATCCAACGATCCCTTTGATCGTTCTAATCTTATCATCGCAAACTCATTCTCGGTTCATAGAGCCTGGTGTGGTACCGATCAACCCAATCCATCTTCAGCGTCGCGGGATCGATCAGAATGTTCTGCTCGAAAATGGCCAAGAGGCTCAAAAGCTGAACGCGAAGTTCTCTGGCATGAATCCTAACTCGCCATGTAAGACGGGAGATTCGGCATGTATCGCTGGAGGATTCTCGCAATGTGTAGGAGGCAAATTTGTGGGTGGACCATGCGCCCAAGGTTCGAAATGTTTTGCGATGCGTGAGTTGATTTCATCAAGCCTCAATCTGTGTGGATTGGGTGGCAGTGATCGTGTAGTACTCAGTCTTTTCACTTATGGAAATCTTACAGCTCTCTTATTGAAGAAAGGAACTTCCTTAGGATGTGGTTAGTACACCCGCCAACTCGCCTCCCTGCATGTCATGTGTATTGGCTGGGAGATTAACTCTAAACGCTTGTGATCACAGATACTGAAGAAGATGCCACGAGCAGAATCAAAAACACTGGCGCCACTGGTGGTTTGACTGGGACCGGCGGGGATTCAAGCAAGCCATCAACAAGTAACTCCACCCAGGCAAACCCAACAGGAGACATGAACGGTACAAAATCTGATTCAAATGAGAAAGATGGCGATTCCACTGGATCGACGGGGAATGCAGCTGCGGATACGAACAAAAATTCCACTTCAATGGATTCCTCAGCAGGATCTTCCCGTCCATCCGACGCCTCAGATTCAGGTACCGATGAGAAAAAAAAGTCAAACCCCCCAATGGATTCCTCCTCAGGAGCTGCCGATTCATCCGACCCTTCGGCTTCCGGTACCGATAAGAATGACGCGAAAAACTCGACCGACTCGAGCGATCCCAAGTCAGATTCTGGCAAAGCCTCGGAGGCGAGTAAGAATTCAACATCCCCCTCGGATGGGAAGGAACCTGACCCCAAGGAATCCAGCTCCAACTCTACTGACGTTAAAAAAAATGAAGGTCAGTTCAGATCTATAGAAAAAAAAAGAATCATTTCATAAGTCTAACTGGTTTGATTCTTCGGAACCTTTCGATTGTTTCTTGTAGCTCCGGTTAAAGGAGCCGACGGTGAAGATGTAGAGGATCTCAGTTTTGCGAAGGATAAATCGGAAGAAAAAGATTGCGCAGATGAATCCTAACTCTAACCCAGAGCTACGATTAACGGCGGTTCCTCCGATTTCCATTCCTATTTTATGATTTACAATTTTTATTCTTATCCTTATTTTTATCAGTCGGGTTCTAGGGGAAAAGAAGCAGCTATGTAGGCTGGATTCAAAATTCATTTTTTTTTTTCAAGTGTGTAGAATTCAAAATTACTTTACTTAAAATAGTATTTTATAAGCTTATGCCCGCTTATGTAGAAGGCTTGTTCCAAACTGGGTCTGGATGATTTAAGAAATTTAGGGGTCCGAAGTCATTGAATGATTTCGTGATGGGTTTTCAAGACAAGGCAGTAATATGTATTGCTTGATTAAGCCTTGGAGTCGCTAGCGAGGTGTGCCAATCTTTAAATTTCAGCACCGTTGCAAGCAAACAACTGAGTGCATTAAGGAAAGTCCAACGCTTCAACGCATACATAAAACATTCCAGATCTTGTCTCGAAGATCCTCACGAGACACTCTTCTACAGAAGTCAAATTAACCCCAAGAAGAAGAAAAAAGAGGGTGACACCAAGATTGCAGCATACCTTGCAGATAATCTAGGTAGTTGGGATCCCCTGTGTATGCAAATCGATGTTTGAGTATGGGTGTAGCGGAGGATATGTATCAATCTAGATCCGTTGGGTTTGCGTTGGGGAAAGGAGAGCAGAGGCTTGAATACCGCCAGTGAGAGCCAGTGAGTCCTGGGCTATAAAGGTATGTGTTGATCCGTCAGCTGGGGTCGGGTTTCTTCACCAAACCGTGCTCAGTTGCTTCTTTTTTTTTCGCTGCTGCACTACTTCATCTCATCAAGATTTTGCAGAGAGAAATTCAAAGCCTGTCGATTTGCCTCGCCAATTCCACAAACACAGATTGTTAACACCCGTTTATCTGAGTCGCATTTCAGGCTGAGCTACATACTTGCCAGCTCGTGATATTATCGTAGATTAGCAGCATAATATCTGTCGCACAGAAACCAATAGCAACACTCCTCTCAAGTCCCTGACTCTCCTTTACTCAGAGAGACGTTTACACCTGAACCTGTCAATCCTCCCCAAATCGTCCCACTAAAACATACCTCAAGCGATATGCTCCACTTAATCCGAACTCTGTTTTCTTTGACTTTGGTTTTGGCATTTACTGTGGTGGCATACCCTAGCCAAAGTGCTCTCCTCCAAAGTGGGTCAACCTACATTCTGGATTTGACAGTCAACGATTTGATCGAAATTATGCCCTAAAGGTTCCAAATGCTAATAATCTTCCCTCTCGTACGTTTTCGCAAACTTTGTGATCTGCCCTTATAGACGCGCCCAAAGGTTTGGGGAAACGATTCCAGTCGATCCGCCCTGAAGCATCCGCCCCACGGCCATGGGTTAAGACGGCCCGAGATTTTCTTCAAGAAGCTCCTCAAGATACGACGGCACAGCGCCTCGAGAAACGATCGATCCAACCCAGAAGTTTTTCGAAAATTCGCCGACGTGTAGAGGCAGGTATCGCTACCTCCCGCCAGACAACTGGATTATCCAACCCGCGCCCATGGGTTCAAAAAGATGAAGTTATCTCATCAATGAAGTGACTGAAGAACAATTTACTGGGTGAGCACTTACTACCTCAACTCGTCAGGGCCCCCCTTGCACTTGTTTTTGCTAGGACCTTCGTGAAATCCCGTAATTGTAACACGCCGGCTCACATATTCTTCAGTAAATAGGGGGATCACGACGTAAACGGCTTCTGGGTCGCTCGGGATTCTGAAATTGGGTTCGATTTAATTTATAGCTTCATAGTGGTTAAAAAAAATATGACTTGTACTGCAGAGTCAATTCAGAAACAGATTTCTTGTATAACCAACTCGGAGAGACCTCGAGGAACCATGTATGGTTGTGCAGGCCGAAGTTAGGCCAAGAGTATCATGATTACAGGTTATCAAAGGACCTGGGGAAGCGGCGGAAGCCGCACCATCGGGCAATGATCCTGATTAATACGTGAGATGACAGACTGAGAACAGTAAGGCAATGGTAAACGGGCTTAATTTTTTGAGTGGGGGAGGAAGATGACCATCACACTCTGCTATATTCCCTTAAAATCAGTTTGGCATCTGATGAAAGGACCGTGAGGCTTAAGCTGTTTGAGAACCCGTGGGTCGATCGAAGTTGGGCGCTTAAAATTAGTTTGTGCTCTCAACCGAGCAGTTCACTCGCCATACTTGAGTACATCCTAGCCATTCATTATAATTATTACAGCCCGGCCCGTGTGCTTTCTGCTCTGCGAAACCTATTTACGACCCAGTCCCTTGAACAAACACTGTCTGCTCGGGAAATTTTTGAAACATTTTTCTGTTATTGTCCATCATTTATGTACAAACATTGCCAAAAGTAAGACTATGATTTATCACGCATAACTTTTCTGGGGTTTTCCAATCGACTAGCGCTGCCAGTCAACTGAAATTGGAAGTGGGGAAGAGTTTTTTTTTTCACAGGGGCAAACAACATCTCATCTCATCAGGTATGTACCACAATCCCCCCCCCCCTGGGGTATTGGAACTGCACTTTGCAAGGAGTTGAAAAGAACCAGTGAAATGGTTTACTGAGGTCAGGGGAATATCAGTGGTGCAGTGCTTGTGATTATAAAAAGAAAGATACTCTATGGTGAATTTCTAAATCCTCACCCCTTCAAGGGCCCAGAAGCCAAAATGCTGGGTGTCCCTGAGGGAATCCATGACATTTTGCTGCAAAAAAGCAGTGTTTGATGGACTTGAGTTTTTATTTCTGAGGCATTTTGTAAGAAAATATGCAAAGAAAATGTGTTATTTACCTGCCAGGCCAATCAGTTTGTCTAAACCTGATCAAGAAATTCTTGCAGGTGAGCTGTGTCAGAATAGCCCCCTAGGGGATGAGACCGCAGTCAAGCGGTGCAAGAAGTCTACACAAGACAAGACAAAACAAAGTAAGCCATGAAACACATGACTCAGAACATCCAAGATATGAAACTCACCTCAGCCCATTCTGTTTCAGATCCAAGCAGCGAAACAAGCCACCTCAATTCTTGGGAACAAAGCCACGGCAAGCCCGACAACAAGGACAAGAGGAAGAACGAGAGCGATGAGAGAAGACGCACAGGAGATCCGTGAGTACTTAAGCAGCCCTCTTTCCCAGCTTAGAGTGAACACCAGAACTAATCACTCGCTCCTTTCAACAGTATCATTGCACATAGAATTAGTCAACCCAGTGGACCATTGCTACTTGCTAGAATCAATCAAGACCAAAACGAGTAAGTCCACTCAGCCCGTGCAAAAGAGATAAGGTGCATGATCTGACACAAATCCAATTTGCACAGATCACAACCAACAACTACCGCACCTCATAGAAAATAGGACAGTCATCTAACGTCCTAAGACAAAAGTAAATAAGCTCCTCTCTAGACTCGCAATGAGACAGACATCGTGATGCTGACTAAAGAGGACAGAAACGACTTTGTTCTTTCCCTCAGAACCTCTCTCCTTCTCAGTCTTTCCCAAATCGCTTTCATCCTATCCTCAGTCATATCTGTCTTGGCTACACCGAGCAGTAACAAACCCATAGCCAAGAAGCACAAACGATCCGTTCTGCTCTTAGGTAAATTTCTCTTACTTCATTTCTTTCAGAATAAATCATTACTTAGACAAAACAATCTTGTGCATAGAAATAAAACCTTATCAGTTCAAATGTCTAATCAAAATATAATCTCTTAGTTGTTTAAAATCTTACAGATTTACAGTCTCGACCCTTCGAGTTAAACCTCAAAACACTTCAACATTCAACTCAGGAGCAGAACGATCGAAATGGTCAATCCAGCTACATCTTCCACGGCTTCCGCATCCGATTCATCCAAGAAAGAGGAGAAGGATGTCATCACGATTCCGAAATTTAACGGGGAAAATTTCAGCAGCTGGGAGCCAACAATGAGCACCTACCTAGAATACAAAAAGCTATGGTACATTTGCAAATCGGACGTCCTTGCTCAGGAAGATGTTAGCGACACTGTCAAGAGCAATGCCCTGGAAGTATGGCTCATATTCAGCAGCAAGATCAACTCTGAAATCTTCAACAGCATGAAGAGCTCTTGCGGCCGTGACCCCTACAAAATCTGGATCAAGCTCAGAGAGAACTATGCCGCCGCCAACATCTACAGCATCTACAGAGTCTGGGTGAACTACGGAAGAATCACGTACGAAGAGGACCTGCTCAAATACATCATCAAGATCAAGGCGACTCTGGCCGAGATCAGCACAATTGGAATCGACATCATGCAAGAGCTAGTAAGCGTCTCCATCATGGAAAAGATCCCTGAAAAGCGACCGGCTTTAATGGAGCGGCTCTTAGCGGACATCAACACGCTTTCCAACCCATACCAACTTCTCGCCAGACTTTGACAAATTGCCAATCACGATCAAGTGAGAAAGATCAGGGAGCTAACCACCAACCATAGTCAAGCGCAAAGTCAGGCGCAGGCCACGACAACCCAAAGGAAGAAGAAACCAAAAATCTACTGTACGGGTGGAAAGCACAATCCTCAGTCAACACACCCACATGACGAAGACCCTTCAGACCCCAAAAGAGAGCCAGAGCATCAAACTATGCAACAACCACAGTGCCAGTCAATCCTGAGGAGGACTTCGCTTACTACTCTGACAAAGAAGAAGCAAAGAAGAACATGTTCATTCTAGACTCTGGTGCGAGCCAGCACATGTTCAATTCACTCGACCTATTCCTAGATTCGTCGCCAACAAGAATATTGATAGTGACCGGATCGGGTGCGACAAACATTGACATGATGGCCACCAGGAAGGGCACAGCTAGACTACGCCTGGATAACAACTCAACAATCACGCTGAAGAATTCTCTTTACGTGCCAAATCTATCAACCAATTTAATCTCATTTGTCCAGGTCATCAGAAGCAATGCGACTATAACAACACAGGAGGAAGGAATGATAGTAACCATCAACAATTCACATTCCCTTCGCATCAGCACAGAGAACAATCTGTTTGAAGTGCAAGGCATCCTACTGAGCAGACAAGCACTAAACACAACGACAGCTGAAGTCTGCAAATTCGACACGTGGCACAGACGTTTCGGTCACGCCAGTGCTCCCAGAATCAGGGAAGTCATTCAAGATAAAAGCAAAATCAGTGTTAAAAACACCTGCGAAGCCTGCTCAAAAGGAAAAATGATCAAATCTCTGTTCAAGGGTCACTTCTCTCCCACCTCAAATCCTCTTGAAGTTGTCCACGGAGACATCATAGGACCAATCTCACCCTCCACTAATGGAGGATGTCAATATTTCCTCACGCTTGTGGATCAGCATACTGGTTTTATCCACATCACCTTACTCAAAGAGAAATCAGACGCCACGAAATCAATCATGGACTTCAAGACATTCTTTGAGAAGCAAACAGGACACTCGATAAAGAAGATGATCACTGATGGCGGAGGAGAGTTTTGCAACAACGAGCTGGGCGAGATCCTGAAGAGTGAAGGAATCCAACACAACGTCGCTCCTCCATACACGCCGCAACACAACGGAATTGCCGAACGGGCCAACAGGACCATCATTGAGATGACCCGATGCCTCATGCTGCAATCCAACATTGCTGCAGAATGGTGGGGAGAAGCTGCCCAAACGGCAGTCACCATAAACAACTGCCTCCCTTCGCTAGCAAAAAGTTGCTCAACACCACAACAACTACTGCTGAAACAACAACCCAATCCTCAATTCCTCAAACCGTTCGGATGTCAGGCTTGGATTCTCAAGCCAAAGGCCAACCGTGAAGGAAAACTTGATTCCATTTCGTGGGAAGGCACTCTACTGGGCTACACCAATGCCATGTCATCCTACAGAATCTATCGACACGAGGATAGAAAAGTTGTGTTTTCACGGCAAGTCAAATTCAACGAGAACATCTTTCCAACCTGCTCAGCCCTCAATAAAAGCCTTGCTGTAGTCGGAGAAAACCTGGAAATAGTCCCAACCTTCTTGGCAGATCCAATCCTTCCCTTTGAAGGGGAACCGACAGTAATCAACACTGATCCTCAAACAGATGATCTTGAAGAAACTACGCCTGATCACCCAGCAGAACCAGCATCGGACAAACAATGGGCATATGTGAAGGACTTCCAACCAAAAGAACCAATTGTCAGCACAGTTGACACCAGTAACATCATTGAAGGTAAACGAACCGGGACAACAACATGTCTTGTTGCAACCTCGCTCGACCCAAAGTCACACGCCATGGCCATGAAAAGCCAGGAGGCCTCCAAATGGAGGGAGGCGGAGCTAAAAGAAATCACCAACATGAAGAAGCATGATGTCTGGATCGAGCAATCCCGGCGCGCTGCTGACTCGCCAATAGCCTCAACTTGGGCTTATTGCAAGAAACTGGGCCCGGACAACCAGGTGGTGGAGTACAAGGCCAGAATTTGTGCGCAAGGTTTTCGACAGACGTACGGATTCAACTTCGAACTGAAGTATGCGCCAACCGGCAAGGCAGCGTCTCTTCGCCTGCTTCTCTCCTACGCGGTCAATCAAAATCTGGCTATCCATCAACTCGATGTACGCAGTGCGTTCCTCACCTTCCCCCTTGAAGACACAGTGACGCTCCTCCTGCCTCAAGGATATGAATTCCCCCCCCCAACACCGTGTTTGAATTGAAGAAAGCAATCTACGGCCTCAAGAAAGCGTCCCTCGTGTGGTACAAGCGACTCAGCTGTTTTCTCATCAGCATTGGATTCTCGGCCACCACCTCTGACCCATGCGTTTTTCATCGACCCCTCTGCGGCATCAAACCTCCAACATGGATCTATGCGCATGTGGATGATCTAGTCGTCATCAGCAGCGATCCGGCAGTTTTCAAATCGGAAATAGAACAGGAGTTTGACATCAAATACCTGGGC